TAAATTGTTGGCATGTATACAAATAACTTTCATCGTGTTTCACCTATACTTCTAAAGGTATACATTTGTATTTGATAACAAAAGACTACACTTTTTTTAGGTAAATCATGATCGAATTTTAGATTTGTATGCTTTGTATAAATCATCAGTTTTGCAAAAATTTAACATGTTGCACTTAGAGACAAACATATAGCTATTGGTATTTAGAAGCACGTCGGCAGAACGCACTGCACCTACGCGAAACCAGTAAATAAAATTAATGTATTGTAGATAGCACTTGGGCAGAAAGTTTCATATAAGGTCATATCTGCGAATATAAGGTTAACATCCTGACTGTAGTTTCTAATGATATGTCAGAAAAGATATCCTTTGCAACAGGCAAAATTCTATTAATGCAACGTTGACCAAAAATCCACAGAAAATCGTCAAAATACATGGTTCTGCGCAGGCGCATTACGTTCTGCCGACGTGTTGTATTTAGAGATTTAGAACTGAAAGAAGCATTCTGGGCCAGAAGTGCTTATTATCGAGTTGTAAAAATAAATGGCTATGCAGTTTTTTTAAGTTTTCCATAAGGTTTAATATTAGCCTCAACAAAGCATAAAAATTGCAGTGATTATTAAGTTCTTGAAACCACTCCAACAACCCCAGGCGTGAACATCTGCCAACTTGGCCGACAACAAGTTCTTGATAATTGTACTGTAGTCATTACTTGCATCCCTTAAAGGTTTATGTTCTGAAATGTTATTACCGTCTCAAAAACATAAATCATAGATTAAGTAAAAAATGATTCATTTTGTAAATTCTTTAAAGCAATATAATATTAATAATGGTTGAAAAAGAGCTATGAACATTTCAAAATCATCCACCTATCTGTCCATCTCTCAGCGTGTGCATTAATTTTCACCTGATTTGGGGGAAAAAACAAGAAATTTTGTTGCCCCCTGACAGAGGTCTATATGCCGGAACGTGAATGGCTGAATATAATTATTATGAAGAGAGGAGACAAGACAACAAGGCTTATATCTAATGTTTTAATTTTATTTTACTTTCATTCTTTTTATATGTGATAGTCACCGTGGGTTCCCACTGAATCGAAACCATTTGTAGAGTGATTGAAAAATTTTATTTTTTTTTTACTTTTACCTTTCAGTGAGAGATGAATGTTGTAAGAGTTGGCAGCAAACTTAGCACGATTATAGGTATCATTTCTTGTGATGTTGAAATCTGAAAATGTAGGAATCTTCAAAGTTGTTTTTGGCCTGTCTTGTTTTTTTTTGCCCTATCGCATTAGATTTAGAGTTTGCGGAAGACATCAACCATAAAATATACTTGTAGTGGCCTCAAAGCCTAATTTTTTTAGCACTTAGAGGAAATTATAATTCTTTTAGTATTATTCATCCCTGCATGTTTCCTTTTTTCACACAAAGGACACAGATTTTTATTTCCAAAAGGATGAATCATAATGAGTTAGATTTTATCCAATTTGTTGCTTTAAAGACTGTTTCAACATGTTGCAATTTTCATTTCAGGAAAGATTTTTTCATGGTTTTTAAGTAATGTTAATGGAAATTGTGGATCATGATGAAGAGAACATCAGGGAAAACAGTTTGGTCACAACAAAATGATTTTGAAAATATGCATTGTGTCTATTTCCATATTTGCAACAATATTAGTCAACCTTAAACTAGATATTAGTGTAAGAAACTCTTTCAGAAATGACAACAACTTGCAGGGAGGGCTAGTTTCACAATCGCATGGTGTTTTGTAATAAAAATGCAGAGTATCGCAGAAATGCCCGAATCCCTACATCTTTTGTTGTCATTCAGTAAGGGGTCTGCATGGGGACGTCTTGATCACACTTTGTGCTAAATTGTGGCAGGCTGCGATAATGATTTACTCTTCATTCGTCTAAATTCTAAGACGTCAAATTATGCAAAATTACTATAATGTCAATTATCGCTTACTACGTAGACTGCATTTGACATGTATGACGTTGAATTATGCAAATTTCTGAAAAGTGACATACCTGTATTATGCTTCATTTGTACTGACTGGATGTTTTACGCTTAATGCACAGATTATGTTTAACGTTTAGCAGAGTTGCCCTCTGAGCCCCGAATTCAGTGCAAAATTCAAATACCTGATATTACACTTTGCAGCATGCAGAAGACCCTTGTCTTTGAGAGTTCTAAAAATAAAAGTCAACTCACCATTAAAGTCTGATGTTCTCTTGTCTCGTAGATAGGTGGCAGGACACAGGTATATCCTCCAGGAATACACACAGGTCCTTCAAGAATATGGACAGGTACACAGGATAGCAGACAGGTCCCACAGGAACATTGTCAGGTCCCTCATGGTCAGGTGTACATGTGTATAAAAAAGAAAAATTTTGTCAGAAAAGCTTTTAACGAGCTACAAAAGTTACAAACAATATTCTCAGAACATCCATCTCAAGACAAGATACATCACACATTCTAAAATTCGGAACACTTGAAAAAGTTCTAAAACCAGTGCTTTAGGTTAGGAAAAGAGCACAAGCTATGTTAGCGAGGTAAACTCAGTATTTACATTTAGTCAGAAGTGAGCATAGACTGTCATGAACGAAAAACAATCACATGTGAAAATACATCTCACATAAGATATCAAAACAGTCATCTTTGAGTTTGACAAATAACACATGTTGACAAAACATCCATAGCACACAATCTAAGCTACCTATGGAAAAATCAAACTGTACATGTACAATGTACATGTAATAGCCAACAAGTCAATACAGCATCTGCAGCATGAAAAACCTCCAAACAGTTAACCACACATGACATGCATTTTCAAACAACAGTTCAACAAACTTTAAACACATGACAGACAGAACATTGTGAAAAAAGAATGCATGTAGTGTGCCCTTCACAAATAAAACATTTTGATTTTTAAAAAAATTGTTAACAACATGTCAAAAATCTAATTTGGTGTTCCAGGTAATGCAAAATATAAAATCACACAACTGGTGGTACCAACAAGTGTCGATATGGCTACCTCACCCATTTCAAATTAAAAACATTCATAAAACATTTGGACAAACACTTATAATAATCATAATACACATTTGTGGGAAGAAATAGAGGTGGTCAAGCATAAACAATGAACAGTGATACCGGTAAAGCCAATAATGGAACTGGTACCACGTCATATATATTAGTGGTTAATGGAGAAAACAGTCAAAAAGCTCAACTCATTCACTCCATAAATGAGCAACAACGTTCTGATTCCTTTAATCAGGTAGAGAATACTTATTTTTAAATAGAACCTATAATTTCTATCAATACTATACATGTACCATCATCATTCATCTAAAAATGTAAGCACTGCTGGTGTACTTGAAATAATGAGCTCTGTTTGATCAGACCACGCGGCAGCGCCCCATGCGGGAAATTGACTTAGTGCAGCATTAAATACGGGGGAACAGTTCTTGCAAGTAATTTTCGAAATTCTGTGTTTTTGTTTCAGTTCACTTCAAGGAGGTTTGTCTGCATTAGTCCATAGAGTAATTAAGACAAAGTTCAGTGCAACTTACCACCAAAAAGCGGACTTGTCGCGTCTTTCTGGGCAGAGAGTTCTCTCCGAGTTCCATGCGACACTCGCCATCTTGGAACCGCGTGTATCACGCACAGCTGCCGGGCCCACCTGTTCATCACCAGCAAAATTTGAATTTGGTAATTAAGTTAACAACAGCCAATAGGCAAGCACCTCTCATGAAAGCCTGAACAACGACGATCTCATTATGATTTTTACATCTCACAAATGTTTTGAGGTCAATTGCTTCCACATGAAAGAGAGACCAAATCCTGTCATCGATAATTTTTGTAGTTATAATTGTAGGGTAGATCTGTCTTGTAGTACGTTGTAACAATAAAGTTCGTTCGTTCATTTCCTTTCCTTGATACCCGGCAAAATGTATATGACAGTCGATCATTCCAGACGAGTCAAGGCCCTGCTCCATTCTAGTACACAATGACGCAACTAAATAATTTCTTTCTGAATATAAGTTGTTAAATATGACAATATGTTGTTTGCTAGGGAACAATGATAGCCAAATGGTTTGTTGTTTACCTGTACGAAAAGCGAAGTCGCCGTTGAACCACGTGCACCCTCTGTCTCGCTGTAACAGGCCAATCACTGCGTTAGACAGTCTGGGGTCACGTGGTGAGAGCACGTGACCCAGACGCGTCATTGGCTAAAGCCTGACCACGCCTCCGCCATGCAGATGTTGCTCCGCCCTTCCGCGCGCACTATAAAATAGCGGGACGCGCCCTAGATCCAGGTTCTTCACCTCTCGGAAGCTCCGTTCCAGCACACCGGTTTAGGTTAGTAGTAGTTTAGTATAGTAGTTTTCCCTGCAACGCACTCGACTGTACAGGTAATTGGTTTCCGTTCTCAGTCTTTGTCTACTTTTAGTATTGTGTTTCACTCTGTAACTGTTCCGTTGTATAACTTTGTATTTGTACTTTCATTATATGTTGCATCGCTTTGTATCTACCGCAGTTAGTCAATAAAGTCACATCAAATATAAATCGACCTGGCTTTGGTGTTACTTAGAGTGAGAGTCTAGTAACTTGTGCCTTAGAGTGAGAGTCTAAGGATTGTAACCGTAATCGTAACTGTAATCGTAAGTTAGCCCAAATCCTACCCACGCAGAAAGAACGTTTGTTACATGGTTCCCACACGGAATTATATTTGCGCTGTGACCTTTGCCTACTGCGGTATATAGAATTGTAATTTCCATAGAATCCGTTTTGTTCTTGTACTTTTGGTCCTGGTATACACGAATTGTATTTTGAAGCTGTGTTGTTGCACCTGGCCTTTGTAAAATTGTCCCCTTGCCCGGCCCGACCTTGCTGCAAAAGTTATATCTGACCCACATCTGACCAAAATTTAGTTTGGTTCTCTGTACAATTTTTTTTTTCTCGCTTGTGTTTCGACCCTCGACTAAGCGTCACATCTACCTCTTTCGTTCTGTTCCGATTAATTGCTACTTTGCTCCTTTCGCTGTGTGTTGTGATTCCCCAGCACCGCCTATAATTTTATCTGTGCTGTTATTTTGGCCCGCAGAACCTCGATTTTTTTTTCTATTCTCTGATTCGTAGTTACAATTGGCTCCAGAAGCTTCCAAATTTTGTACGCTTCCAAATCTTGTACTCGCCTGGCTATTCACCTGGCTATTCCCAACCTTTGTAAATCGCCGTAAAACTTCTGTTTTTTGTTAGCACCTCCTTGTCAGTCAGACAGCTCGGCGTTCCATTGCTACTTTTCCATTCGGCCGACGTCGACACTTACCTGTGAACCCCTTGTGATTCACCGCAAATCCTCTGTTTTTTAGTTCTCACTTTCTTGTAAGTCAGACGGCCGTCGCCCGTCGTCGTTAGGACCAAATTTCCATTCGGCGGCCACTTACCTGTGAATCGTCTGCATCGTCTTGCCCGGCACCACACCAATCTCGGCGTCGCTTTGTGTCGCCGACTCTCTGTTGCATTCCACCTTGGCGTGTTTTTTTTTCCAAATTAATACATGTTGTTTTTGCATTGTTGACGCTGTGTTGTAATCTAATCAAAATTTCCCTGTTTTTTTTTCTCTGCCCAATTGTTGTAACTATGCACATGTTTGTTCTCGGTACCGTTTGTCACATTTCTGCAGTCTTGACCTGTTTGGACGTGTGGATGAGTAGACTCTGTTGTTGTTGCCGTTATTGATTACTATGTTGTTCTTTCTAGCCCGGAGATGGTTACTGTCTTATGCTCCGTCTTGATTGGATTGTCCGTTGATGAATTTATGCATTCTTGTTTGATCTTCTTGGATTGATTGTACGACTTGTAGGAAGTCGCAAGTTTTGTCTACTACTGATGTAACTGTAATGTTGACCCCGTAAAGTCTGTGTTTGGCCAAGTGTTTATTGTTTGGTGATGATCCTTGTTTGATCTTTTTGTTGTTGGTTTTTGGTCATCGTTTACTTGAAACTTGTGACCCCTTGCCTAATCCTTTGCTTGTGCGGATTTAGGGTGGTTTGTCTTGTCTATTGTCGACTTCTCTTCTTTGTCGTCCGACTCATTAATTCCACGTGGCTGATGTTGTATTGTTGCCCGTTCGTTGTTTTACTTGGTTGTTGCTAATGCAAACATAGCCGGTTTAAATAATCAGCATTCATCTGTTAGTTTGCACGGGTCCTGTGTAACGTCGACAGAAAATTGGTGTCAATCAATTTCATAGGTCTGTTGTCTCGTCTGTTGTTATATTTCAGTCCCGCGTATAACTAGATTTCTGACATGAGAGGACAGTCTGTTTTTGGTGCCTACCAGGGTCAGGGCATAATATGGTCTTCGCCTGGCCCAAGTGTAAGGTCGCCGATACCTGTTTCCATCCCAAATTGCTCCAAATTCTCGTGTTCTCAAATTCCAGTACTCAGTAGTTTGATGGCCGCACTTGGCCGAGCTGTATTAGAAGTGCAACGCACACAACAAGAACAAATTACAACACTGTGCCGACTGGTTGTGTGTCTTGCCAGTAACCATTCCTCCAGTAAATACAGGGGAACCAGGTCGCCACGGACTCATCCATGTTTCTTGTGTAGCCGACTTGGTCACTGGAAAAGACAGTGTCCACTGAGATGTAGTCCGGGCCATAAGGGCCCCAATAACCATCCACCATCTCTCCCTATCCGCAGCGACAGCGACACTCCCGCACCAGCTGACGCGACCACCGCCCACTCCGGGTCGGGACCAGTAACCCCGCGTGGACTTCGGTCCGCGGGACCCTCTTCTTCTTCCTTTCCAGCTTCACCTAACTCCGATCCCCGGGGGACACCAGTACTGACTCCGGTGACACCTGTCCTACCGTCTGCGCCAGCGACTGACATTCATGTCCCGCCACCGGTTTCTGTCCTGCTGCCGACGCCAGGGGCGGCCCGGGCCGAGTCTCCCGTAACGCCGCCTGTGCCTGTCCCGCGAACGTCAGTAACGCCGCCTGTGCCTGTCCCGCGGACGTCAGTAACGCCGCCTGTGCCTGTCCTGCCAACCACCAGTACTACCGTTCCCACCACATCTCCACGGCGACGACCCAGCCGTCGTCAGAACCGTCCAGAATACATGAACACTTCCATTTCTATACCAGACCATGTTCCTCTTAGTTATAGTGATAGCGAGACAGACCATCTCCACCCCAACGTATGCCAGGATTGTTTTCAGGACGAGGGGCTTACTGGCCAGGGCCCTCCTTCGGATAGGCCGGGTCCCCGGGGGGAATCGCTCGAGGTGGACCCCTCGCCCCCTCCCTTGAGGTCCGTAGCTCACGACTCCTCGCCTAAAAGCTGGAGCCCAGTCACCCACCTGATGTCATCCTTAGTTCGGGCCTTCAATCGCCCACCAAAACTGGAAAGTTTCTCTATTTAGTGTTTATGGTTATTATGTCCATGTAACTACTGAAAAGTAAATTTTTCCTTTCGTCTGAGGTTCCATGTATGTGTAGTTGGTGACGTTCAAGTACCCCTTGTTTTCCTTTTTGTCACGTCCAAATTTGGAACGAGAAACCTCTGCCACCCCACCAAGCCTAGGGGTCTCTGTGGGTTCGCTTACCACGGGGGAGTGCGGGCGACTAGCACTCTTCCCGTCAGGGCCACCACTCTTTCTAGTACTAGTAATTGTATGAGCATAGGGCAAGTTTCTCGTCCTCTTGACGTGTACCGCAGTATCACGCTGCTAGTCTCTTCCCTTGGGGTCGCGCAAAACTCACCTTTTCCATTAACGGACCTCCGTCTACGATTGGAAAAGTTTTCCTTTCTCGTTTTTTATTTCACTGTGTATTTTCTTTTTGAATAAGATGCGGAAATATTTTCCCTTTTTCGATGAGATCAGGTATTCTATGGATCAGCAAGGTAGGAATCGTAGCTTGTTTTACGACCAACTTCCCAGGGAGTTAGGTAGTGGGGTTTCCTCGTTCTTCTCCTCGATGGGTCCCGTTGTCCCTTCCGAACGTTGGGCGCTCCTAGTCCCCTCCCCGTCCTGCAGTCATGGAACCCCCGCAAAACACGGTGGGCTCCCGAGCAAAAACGCTCTAACTGTCTCGACCGGGTTAGAAATGGTCTGTCTGTGCTAAGTATATTTGATTTGCTTTGGTTTTAAAATGGTCGTCGACGATCCTGTACTCTGATAAGAGTTTGTTATAATTAGGTATGTTCTGGTTTGAAACTGATCGTAAACGACCCTGGACTTTGGTAACTTTGGTATAATTGGTACGTCCAGTGGTTAAGACGATCCTGTACTCTGGTAAGAGTTTGTTATATTAGGTTTGAAACTGATCGTAAACGACCCTGGACTTTGGTAACTTTGGTATAATTGGTATGTCCAGTGGTTAAGACGATCCTGTACTCTGGTAAGAGTTTGTTATATTAGGTTTGAAACTGATCGTAAACGACCCTGGACTTTGGTAACTTTGGTATAATTGGTATGTCCAGTGGTTAAGACGATCCTGTACTCTGGTAAGAGTTTGTTGTATTAGTTATGTCCGGTGGTCAAAGCGACCCCGGACTTTGGTAAACTTTGGTATGTAAGTTTAGTATGTTAAGTATGTTCTGGTGGTGGAAACCTGATCTGATCTGAAATCTGGTAAAATTTTTATGCCTGTCAAACCGGTTGTTATTGAAATGTGGAGAAATAATTGTTTTCTTTGATTGCTGATCTCCTGCCCGATGTCTTATTCTCATGATTGCTTTGCTGATCCTGTATTTTGACTTTGTTTATGTATTTAACTGGTGTTACGTTGCGGATGTTGTATTTGCTTACGTGCCCGAATGATAGAATCGCCTTATGCTGTACCCTTTTGTGTACTCTGGTTGTTTTGCTTTCTACTGTATTTGATTGTGTATTGATTATTGCTTTGATTATACATTGTACTGCATTCGATTATGTGCACTGATTATTGCTTGGTTTATATGCTGTATTTTGAGTAGGTGTATTGTTTATTGTTTTGACCTATGCTGGATACTAATGTTTATTGATGATTGCTGTAAGTTATGCTGCGCTTTTGTTTTGCACGACGATAACAGGGTTGGCCTTGCGAGATGTGTTAGGCTTATGTTTTATTTCATTTCCGTTTTGTATTGCATTGTATTGGTTTTATTGGTTTTCTGCTATTATGTTGACCGAGTGTTAGTTGAAATCGCGATGTTTCAGTTGATTGAAGATTACGTCAGTTGGTTTTCTTCTGTAACGTTCGGATTTATTTAGGTAGTTAGTTAGTTACTTAGTTAAGCTAATGATGCGGGAGCATCATTACGTGTGGCGGGGGATGGTGTAACAGGCCAATCACTGCGTTAGACAGTCTGGGGTCACGTGGTGAGAGCACGTGACCCAGACGCGTCATTGGCTAAAGCCTGACCACGCCTCCGCCATGCAGATGTTGCTCCGCCCTTCCGCGCGCACTATAAAATAGCGGGACGCGCCCTAGATCCAGGTTCTTCACCTCTCGGAAGCTCCGTTCCAGCACACCGGTTTAGGTTAGTAGTAGTTTAGTATAGTAGTTTTCCCTGCAACGCACTCGACTGTACAGGTAATTGGTTTCCGTTCTCAGTCTTTGTCTACTTTTAGTATTGTGTTTCACTCTGTAACTGTTCCGTTGTATAACTTTGTATTTGTACTTTCATTATATGTTGCATCGCTTTGTATCTCATACCGCAGTTAGTCAATAAAGTCACATCAAATATAAATCGACCTGGCTTTGGTGTTACTTAGAGTGAGAGTCTAGTAACTTGTGCCTTAGAGTGAGAGTCTAAGGATTGTAACCGTAATCGTAACCGTAATCGTAACTGTAATCGTAAGTTAGCCCAAATCCTACCCACGCAGAAAGAACGTTTGTTACATCGCCATTTCTGGTGTTCTCGAAAATTCACCAGGTCGGGAACATCCGCATTTTCTCCTCAGAACATCACGAGAACGGCATAATTCAAATCAAATCAAATTAAATTTTCTACCGCGAAAAGGTCGCAACATTCTGCTGTACGTTTTAGAAAGACATTCCGCCGATATAAAGTCGAGAAGGTAACAGTTATTAGCGCTGAAGTGAAATTTGCACAAAAATAACATCCCAGAGAATTCTCGTCGTACCAAACCACCCTTTTGAAGGGACCAAACCAAATGCGTTTTTACAGGTGTGCAAATTACGAAGACAAATTCAATCTCAAAGAAAATGAAAAGCGGGGAGAAAAGCGTGGAGAAAAGCCACACAGAAAAGCCACAGTCTGATGAAACAGAGCTCATTATTTCCCCAGAAATATGAACTCGCGGCGATGTGTAGATAACAAATAAAAACACACATACACTGGTTACAGGCACGCCACGCATAGAAAATGTAAAGTCATAAGGCTATGGGAAATACTTCATTGGATGAAGGAGGCCTAGGTTCAAAAAGATTGGACTGCTCTTTTGCCATACTAATTCTGTTCAGGGACTTAACTACTAAATCACAACTTCTTTGCCACTTCCCAAGTTCAAGTGACTATAAGAAACGGCGTGGCACATATAAATTATCTTATGGGATCGGAAAAAAGTTGGAGAACGTCAGCCAGCTCGCTGGGAACCTTTTCATACAAATCACGGTAAACGGAGATTAACGTTAAATATCAAGAACGATGTTAACGCCAGGACCAAGTTCCATTGGGTGTATTTTGTATGCTAATTGCTAGAGGACGCTTTTAGACGGTTCGCGCGAAGTTACCATGCGTGTGTTGTGTTGATTTCAACAACAGCATTTCGTCCCGGTTGCTTCGGCGAACTTCTCGGTGTTTGGATATAATTAATTATAAATACTGATATTATCATCAACACGCTTCAGAGACAAAACAACAACGGGTTTTAAAGCAAAAAAAGAAGAAGAAGAATAACAAAGAACTAACCTTGTATTGAGTACGTCAAAGGCCAAAGCAAGTGACGATACGCCAAACTACGCAACCTGGTTGTCACAATCGTGCGCGTCCGCTGTAAGTTATACAGGAATGACCACAAGACATGATATCAAAAACATCATTTGATATTCCCTCAAGTTATCCTAGCGATCAACTATATGAAAGGATTCCGAAAAGATATAATTGCAAACCAGAGAACGTCTTGGGTATGCAAAGCGTTTACAAATAATACAATTAAAAAGGATTTTTTCCTGTTCAACGCAGGATTTTCAAGTTCATTCCTCCCTGCGTTCGATCCGCCATCTTTGCTCCTGTTGCCATGGACACGGGTTCTATTTACTCCCACAGATGACACTAGCCAGCATTTGAGCAGGTTGGTTTTTTTTTCTCTCCGTTTCTAGGCGGAAAAATCACGAAAATATTCACGAAAAACCGCAAGTCATAGTCAGATGTTACTTGTAAGGTCTTTTAACACATAGAAGGAACATTAGGGAGACAAAAGGCGGAGTGTTTTGTTGAAAATGCTCTGAAAAACATTTTTCATTTTGGCGCTGAATGGATAGAACAAGGTTACGGCCACCAAGGTCATTTGGACTATCCATAACAAAGATAACATATTTTACACCTATGGAACCAGACAAACATAACCATATACACTTAGTTATTTTTCGCAACGTTTCAAGATTTAGAAACATCATGTAGTTTATCCTGAAGGCTGTTTTACATGAGTTTTTTTTTTTATGACATCTGTAGGCGTTCTATCATCTATGTTGAGAAGTCGACCAATGGCGACGACGATGTCAACTGAACAGTCTGACGACAGCGTTAACGTTGAGAGTATGAGCCGAAAACTGAAGAACACAGGGTCTGAAGACGACCTGGAAGTTGGTGCTGAGGCCATGGTAAGTTTCATGTTCGTTTTGGGGAGTTTTTCAACCGCCGGTGTACCGCTCGTGTTGTTTTCATTTGTCAACTTACGTTGTAACATTAGTTAGTTCATCATTTGTTATGATTCACGTTGCGTAACGGTTAGCTTCTGTGGATGTTTAACTAGATAGGTTGTTAACTTGCTATATCAAATGACAATGCCACAAGTTTGTTTCTTTAGGACAAAAAAGATACAAAACTTACGTCAACGTTTTATAACCTTCAATTTATTTGGATTTTTTACATGGAAATGTGCATGTTATAATTTGTAACAATGTTGCCATTGGGTCAGTTTAATTGAAAGCAGTATAAGTATGATTTGAATTGTTTACCAAAGGTTTACTTTCTTTTCTATGTTTTGTTTATATGTTTGCTTATTGTAGCGCATTCCCTTTCTTATTCAGCCAACTGACACAGGCAGCACAGAACCTGCGTTACAAGAGTAAGAACTCAGTTTTAGTCAGCTTTAGCTAGCACATGAAGTCAGAAATAGTCAGAGATCAGAAATATTACAATGTACTGAAACAAATGTATTGTTGTACATTCATGTCTACTTTACATAGTTCATATGTCCAGTACTTTTTTGAAGGGGGCTTTAAATGGATATTTCTAGGAAAATGAAATGTGAAAGACTAGATAGTGTCACTATGAAATATTTGCAATCGTTGTCCTTGCAAGTATTTTGACATTTACAAATAGTAAAGTGCATTTATACCACCCACTCTCACTCACTCACTCACTCACTCACTCACTCACTCACTCACTCACTCACTCACTCACTCACTCACTCACTCACTCACTCACTCAATCACACTCTCACACTCATTCACTCAATAATGCTAATCTTTTCCTTTCACAGCCTAAAAGAGCGCACAGATGCTCTGAAAGAAAACCAGAAAGGCCTCCAGAGGTAAGGAACAACTCTATATAGAAATACATTTAGGAAAACATTTAGTCTGCAACTACCACAATATTGTCAACCATGTCATTTATTATCTGTTGTTGATAACCAAATCAAGAAGCATTTAGAATCAAGAGATATATAGCACACAATGATGAATGATGCAACACAGATGGAAATACTGGTTGCATGTGCACCTTGACCCCAGGAAGAATAGTGCTTTTAAGCACTAATGGGGATCGTAATAAACAAACAAACAAACCTTAGTGCACCCATGTTTGGAGCTGTGCACCCATGATCTTTTCCGTGAGGGTGCACCCAAATATTTGCATAGGTTTACGTATTTAAAGATCTTTTAACATTTTTACATATAAAATGTATAGTATACAGTATATTATTAACATCTAGGTGTCAGGAAAATGAAGAAAAAATCATTCATATAAGTTATAGTACTAGACTAAGTACTTTTCTTTAGAATTGAAACATAAATTTTTAGTAACATTGTGATTATTCATATACATATATATATATAACACAATAATTTTGTGCACCCAATTCATTAAGTTGGGTGCACCAATACACATATTCCCAAAAATGGATTTCGAACCCTGCAACATGTGACATAGATAAATGATGCTGCATGTTACTGGGCTGAGATGTTCATTGCCTAATGTTGCCTCTTTTTCTTTCAGCCTGTTGCACACAACGCAACAATATACATGCCTGGCGATCAGGTAATATAAGGCATATTAAAGCATTTTTACATGTTTACATCTTCTTGAATTGAAGGCATTTTAATAGATGTATGTAGGGTTGCCGGCTGGAGCTTCTATTGCGTGCATATGTAGGGTTTTCCGGCTTCTATTGCGTGCGATCTACGTTTGATCCAAAAACTCCCCCCCCCCCCGAAAAAAAACCCCCGCCGATCCGGGAACGCCTGAAAAGGAGGCTAGCATTTTAGGCAGCTGTGATTAAAAAGTGTCAAGAAAGCATTGGAAAGTCTCAATCTAGTGGACTCAATAAATAATAAATATATACCGGTACATAAAATACATTCTCTTCTCCATTCTGATATACTGTCGTAAAAATAAAAAGTATTGACTTATGAGATATACCTCATCATTGTCCAGTTTCATACATTGTGCTTGATTTCTATAGGAGGCTACAAGAACAAGTACACGCAACACACAAGCAGGAGAATCTGATTATGACGTAAGAACAATCATTTATCTTCGGCTTCTATTGACATATGACCTGCCCTTGGTGCTGAAAATATCTCTCCATATATAAAATATCCATCTGTAGAGAAAATCATTTTTATGATGCAGTGAATGTGAGGTTTCATAAAATTTTACATGTAGAATAAGAAATGAGAACTTCAAAGAACGTAATAAAGTTTGCCATTTCTAAATCTCTCATGTGTCATGTCTAATATTTCTATCTTTGACTGAGGTGCCCAGTATAATTATAATGATAGATATGTTTGTTGACATATCTGTAACATTTGTTATGAATTGTTTCTACTCTAGGGAGTTCGCAAGATGGCTGGAGGCAAACTCCACGTAAGTTTACAAATATAACGTTATTTATCTTGCAGTTGAAATCATATTTGCTAAATTAGGAACTTGCCCCCACCATATACTGAATCCGTTCTCAGATTCGCTAAATAAGCTGTAAATTCAAAGATGCTTAAATTAATTCTTTAATGGTTTTTCCTCAGAATGATCCTGGAAGTAGAATCATCCTTCCAGAACAGGTGAGTTTTTGTACACTTTCTTGATGCACAGAACAACAGTTAATTTTAGTTACAGTTAAAACACAGGTTTCACATGGAAGCAAGATTTGATCCACTAGTCATTTTGATAAGTGCAATAGAATCTATACATGCTCAAGGTGTGGCTCTCTTTAAACAGGACTCTGATCTGAGAATACGTCTGTGAGGTTTAATGTGCCTTTCCCAAAGGCCTTAAACCTGACTAGACTACCTAGCCAATAGCTTCAGTAGATCAATCACAGACACAAGCTGAAAACAAGACTGGCAATGAAAATATACATTGCCATGCCCACGGTGGTTGCTGTTAGGGTTATTGTTTGCATGGCACTGCCATGATTTCATGATTTTGAGGAAGCCTTCAGTTGGTACCTGTTAAGTCTCGACAGACACAGTGCACTCCTCCCCTGAGTGTATAGTGAACAAGCCCACAGAAAGAAGGGAATCTGGGACAGAGAGGTTTTTCCAAGGGTTTCCAGGTATGTGTGCAAATTGCACACAATACTGTACCTTTAGGCACCTCCCTGAGAGGTTGCCAAAAACACTTTTTTAACCATTTGTTAACAGTTTAATGTTTCCCATGCTGCGCACCACAACAGGGTTTCCTTGAAAGACCAGGAGGTGAGTGAGCTGAAGGCTCGTGTGGCTGATCTACAATCAGAAAAGACACAGTGAGTAATCTTCAAATCTTGACTGAAACCATCATTTTAACATACATTATAACTAGTACTTTAAAATATACAATAAAGTACCTAGTTGCAGACGCAGAAAATAATTAGTACTTACGTAAAATGCAAATACACCCTAGAAAAGTCCAAGAATGTCCCATGCTCAAAGGCTGAATGCAATCTGGCTGACAAAAGTTAGGGTATACTAGTAATTCATTGGAAAATGAGTTAGTAAATAACAAAATGATATGTATAATAAAAGTTCATAATTGACCATAAAATTTTAGAACAATAAAGAACATAACAAATTTGGCCTTATTCTAGCCATTCTAGCTAATCATTCTAGTATGTAAAATCAGATGATTGACTTCATCTGTTCTTGCCATGTTCAAAAGACAGACTCAACTGTACTTCTTTACACTGACAGGGAGAGTACTGAGGCAGCAGCTAAGATCAAAGGGCTGGAGGAACGTCTGGTAGATCAGGCGGCAAACACACGGCACAGGTGAGATATGGTCATCCTGTCACTCTAACTCTTACTTACTCACTCACTCACTCACTCACTCACTCACTCTATTCTCAATCACTCACTCACCCACTTACTCAGTCACTTAACTGCACAGTTTACTTTGTCTTGTTTAGGCCACCCGAAAAAAATGTCTAGGGTCGGCAGGTTTTTGTGGGGTCAGTCAGGAAACACAACTGTTTTTTTCCTAGGCCCCACTCACTAGGAAGTTTTAGATATAAGGCCACACCAATTTAATTTGTTGGTTCTCGGATTTTTTCAGAAAAAATATGAAGCGACAGGACGAAAAAAATAAAAATAAAAACAGGTCTAGGCATCCTATTATAGGCTTAAATGCTACAAAATGAGCCATTAAGTCAACACAAAAGGCTGGGTTAAAATTTAAACATTGAATTTTGAACTTTTAATCAAACCACTGCAATGATAGATGGGAAAACTGTAACAACTAGGAAGAAAAGGACTTTCCTCAACTGTTGGGGGGCAAAACATGAGCATTTTTCAGTTGATTCAGGACCAAAATCAAATTTTTTTTTATTGCAAATCAGAAAAAAACGAAGAGGCGATTCCGAGAACCAACAAATTAAATTGGTGTGGCCTAAGTAGACTTTTTTGTTGGAGAGGATAGGGAGATCTTATTATTCATTTATACATTGTCATCATCATCATCATTATTCATCCTCCGTAGAGGGGGAGCATACAAAGTTAGTTCGCCACAACTGACTGTCATACATCACTGAGAAAAGTTCATGTCCCTCCAAGCCAATTTCAGTTTCAATAAGTTGTAGTACCCGGTAACTAGCAGCGTTAGGAAGAGCACACTTTTGTTATAGAAACAAATTTCATGACAAGTCCATTCTGTGCCCCACAACAGAATTTCCCAGAAAGAGCAGGAAATCGCGTCACTGAAGGCTCGTGTGGCTAAACTGGAAGATGAAAAGAAAGGGTGAGTAAATTTTTTTCAAACCTTAGAAGTTTGTAATATCTGCCCCCATTATTTTTTTCATCTATTATAAGGCCACACCTATTTAATTCCTTGGCTAACGGATTCGCCCGCTTTATTTTTTCTTATTTGCAAAAAATAATTCAGAATCAACTGCAAAATGCTCGAACAGGTGAAAATAGTCTTTTTCTTCCTAGTTGTTACTGTACAGTTACTTCATCTTTCAATGTAATGGTATCATTAAAAGTTCATAATTCATTGTTTAAATTTTGAACCAGCCTGGTATGTTGACTTCATGGCTCCTATCGTACCATTTTGGGCCATAATAGGATGCCTAAGCCTTTTTTCTTCTTTTTTTTTCGCCCACCTGCTCCATTATTTTTGTAGAAAAATCTGTTAACCAAGAAATTAAATTGGTGTGGCCTAATGGTGGTATACATAAACATGTACTATCTTCATCATTTAGATGTGACGAGGCCAGCCCACACATGCTCTCGCAAACTCTGCAAGCCGAAAATGTCCTGAATGACCCAAGGCCTATCCATCAGGACATACAGAAGGTAAGTGACTTTTAAAAAAGGTTGGTTTGGGCTTTGTAATGCAAGAGTGGTAAGAGTAAGATGCAGAGGGATAAGTTAAAAATTTTCCATGCGCAATGTCTATATACAGAAATGTCTGAATAAGTTGACCAATGCTTTAATACACATGATGTTCAAGGTTGCATGATAGTTTCATAATTCCCAGAGGATAATCAAAAGTTATTTATTTCTTTATTCAATAGATCAAAAAAGGCAATGATGAGAGAATGGCTCATCAGCAGGAAATGGTGGCAGAAGCAGGAAGCAGAAAGTTGTGGAATCAGGTAAGGATCATAAAACTGATTTTTGTTTTCTTCACTTCCAATCATAATGTTATTACATTGTAGCTGTCATTGCATTTATTCTGGTCAGAGAAATGTATTCCACAAGTGGTATTGGAGAATATTTTCAGAAACCTCTCAAAGTATTAATGCAATATGGAAAATTGAATTAACTGACCTAACTGAGCAGATTGAGCCACATGTAAGTAAAAAATTCAGACCTGTACATGTTTATTGCGCTACAATCATTGCTTGAAAAGCCACTACAGTTTTTGCTATAAAAATGATGCTAGTACAAAATGCATTTCAAAACAATTCTCTAATCAGTTAATAGTAGAATATTCTTCAATCTGTGACTGTTTTTGTAAGGTTAAAAAGTTAACATGTACCTCAAAATTTTCGATGTTGACTGTACATCTTGATCAAGGAGTGACCTTAAGTCTCGCGAAACACGAGACTTGGGTGGATCTTCTGCCTCCCCCACCTCCTTGCGGAGTAGGGGTAAATAGGACTTGGGCAGTTTCCAACCTTCAACCACACAAGTCTCGACATAGTCTTGTGTTCCCGCGAGACTAGGTCACTCCCTGATCAAGATGTACAGTCGACATAAAAATTGGGAGGTATGTGTTTTTACCATACAAAAAGAGTCACTGATTGAAGAATATTCTACTAGCTGTAATCAGACGTGATTGATGAACCTCTTCAACAATTCTCTAATTAATTAAAACGATAGTAAATTATAAGGAAATGTTCACATCACAGAATATTCACACATTTTAAGTTTGGCTGTAATTTCTTCTTTAGGCAGAAGTGCCAGAGAAGGCAGAGAACAAAGTGCCAGATGCTGAAGAGCATGACGAGACAGACATGAATGCGGTGGAGGTGTCCCAGATTACACTGAACGGCATTTCTCTGCCACTGTCTGATGCCCTCATGATTTTGGCGATGGGAGATCCCCTGCCACTAGCACCTGCTGAACAGCACAACAAAGCAAACAAGACGCCATCTGAAGTCCCCCAGATTCTACTGAATGGGGATCCTCTGACACTGCTACATGCTGAAGAGCAGGATGAGGCAAACAAGACCCCAGATGAAGTCCCCCAGATTCTACTGAATGGGGATCCTCTGACACTGATAGATACTGAAGAGCAGGACGAGGCAGACAAGACGCCATCTGAAGTCCCCCAGATTCTGCTAAATGGGGTCCCTCTGACAATGCTAGATGATGAAGAGCAGGACGAGGATACACAGAAGACTAGCCTGTCCTCAGGTGATGCAAACCTAGGAAACAACATAAATGCTGCACAAAAGCAGCCACACATCCCAGATGCGTTTGAAGGGCTTATGTCAGATTCCTTATACAAGGAGCACCTTCCCTCTCACCGCAGATCAGCTTCTCCACAGGAACATTCAAAAGTCATGAGACATGAAGACATGAGCGGAGACATGAAGCCACAAAGTCCTGGAGCACCATCCTCCTGGTGGAAACCAGAGAAGCCTTCCACGTACCAAGAGGTTGGAGAGCCGAGTATGAACCTCCTGGACTTTACAGCAGCCGATGAACCCCGTGGACTGGAATGTCTGATTGAGAAGAAAGCACCGCATAAGTTTTGGTGTGAACCAGCCTTGGTGAGAGGAGGTAAGCCCAGAGGGCTGGAAAGTGTGCTGGACAATTCAAAAGATTCCCAGGCCGTACAGCAGAAAGCATGGCAGAGATGTCAGCTCACCAACACGCTTGACCTGTCGTCAACAAATGACATGGCCGCTGTGTCGGGCAAAAACATGAGCCACTCCACCATGAGCATGCAGGTCAACACGTCTCCTGCAAATGAGGGAGAGGACACTGTCCGAGATGAACCTGTTGCGTTGGAGCCTTGTTTCCTGTTGGCACTGCTAACCCACAGGATTAAGAGAGGCTACAGACTACTCAGCACTGTGCGACACTGATGAAGCTTAAGCTACATCAGCAGCCTGTGAATTTTTCTTATAAGTGTAAATTATTGTACAAAGTTTGAGACGACTCTGTGACTTTTAAGTCATATGTTGGTATAAAGTGCAGATGAACATCAATGTCACATCACAAAAATTGTCATCTGAATGTATACATTACAGTGCCACTTCATCTCTACATGTACATACCAGAAATGTATCTACCAAACAAAGATTTTAATGAGACAAGTACAAGTATTTTATTATGCTTTTACATGTACATCAGAAGTGTGCAGAGACTCTAATTTGTGACGCAGTTTAAGAACTGCCTCTGATCGTGTTTTTGGAAACATGTAGAATACAATATACATGTTTTCTGAAGGAGCTAAAAGTCTGTTGTATTTCTTGTATTGTGTATCAACCATACTATAGTGTTTGCGTGTTGCCGGTGTTCCACACCAAGGACAGGTTTGTTGTATGTGAATGGTGTTCAGCACCAGGGACAGGTGTGTTGTGTGTGAATCGTGTTCAGCACCAAGGACGTGTGTTGTGTGTGAATGGTGTTCAGGAACAGGTGTGTTGTGTGTGGATGGTGTTCAGCACCAAGGACAGGTTTGTTGTATGTGAATGGTGTTCAGCACCAGGGACAGGTGTGTTGTGTGTGAATCGTGTTCAGCACCAAGGACGTGTGTTGTGTGTGAATGGTGTTCAGGAACAGGTGTGTTGTGTGTGGATGGTGTTCAGCACCAAGGACAGGTATATTACTGGTGTTCAGCACTAGGGACAGGTGTGTTGTGTGTGGATGGTGTTCAGCACCAAGGACAGGTATGTTTGTGTGTGGATGGTGTTCAGCACCAGGGACGTGTGTTGTGTGCGAATGGTGTTCAGCACCAAGGACAGGTGTGGTAATGGTGTTCAGCACTAGGTACAGGTGTATTTGTGTGTGGATTGTGTTCAGCACCAAGGAAAGGAATGTCTCTGTGTGTAAGGCTAAGGGAGGATGTTCAACACATAGATGGGATTGACCAACAATGTGTGGTGCGTTAGGATGACAATTATTATTATATAAATTATATGTTATCAGATAGTATCCGTTTACTTCTTATCATCATTCGATATAGAACCAGTTATCAACAAAAAGTGGGGGTTCTCAATATACTGCACTACAATACACATGGAAAAGAATAATACAGCTAGCTGCCGCCGCGCCGCATGCCTTCAAAGCTGGTATGTTGTGCTGAAGTCGGTATACCAGCTATACTAATACAGAAATTAATAATCTCATTATTCCAACCAGTACTAAGTATTTGCCTTGCTGCCATTGGTTGATCTGCTAATTGTGGTGGACAGTCAGGGTCGGTCTATTAGACAGTAAACTACTTTTTTAAAATCATTTTTTTTCAAGAGTTTAAACACACTACAACACCATACATAACTGCACAATGCGGTGCCCCAACCCAGTTCTTACTGGTTCACTTTTAACCATTACCTATCTACAACACACGCATGCACATACACCGTTAACACTCCGGAACCAAACATACGAAATTCCCATAAACCAGCGCTCTTCTAAACAATACTTCTGTCCGGAAAGTAATAATTCAATGCGTTACCACCAGCACAGTATCTTCGACCCTGTCCAGCAAAAGACTCCGTCTCCACATAAGTCACTCCCCACATAGTTGCTAAGGTAGCAGCCACCCAGGTTGCAGAAGGTGGCCGTGCCTCCAAAGCAGCAATCTGGAACAATTTCAGTACAATCTGTTTGGGAGGGGTCTAAACTTACATGTACACAAATGACATCAAAAATAAGATACAAAAGTATCAGGAAAAGCTGGGTGGCAAAATTGACCTTTAAAAAACAGATTAAGAATTTAAAAAAAGAAAAAAGATGCAAAAATTCACATGAAATGCATGGCAAAGTTGACTCTTTCAAAGTATGTCTGAAATCAGGAATGCCCATTCGGAATCATATCTTTCTGAATATAAGTTGTTAAATATGACATGTTCTGACTCTTTGCTAGGGAACAATGTTTGCCAAATAGTTTGTTGTTTACCTGTACAAACAGCAAAGTCGCCTTTGAACCACCCTCTGTCTCCCAACAATTTCGCCTTTTTCTTGTCTTCTCGAAAATTCACCAGATCGGGAATACCTGAATTTTCTCCTCAAAACATCGTGAGACCAGCATGATTCTACTGTGAAATGTTCTAAACACTGTACTGTATTTAAGTAGCTAGCTAGTAAGTGACATTTTTTAACCTGCCCGTTTCCAAGAGTTCGTGAAGGCAATCTTTTTACGCACGTTTTGGGTGTCTAGATAATGTCTCTTTTTTTTTGGAGGGGGGGGGGGTAAATCCGCATTGAAAGTGTATTTTTATCAAATGACCATTAATTCATTCACACGTGCATAGTTATTCATTGACCTATGTTCAAAGAAATGGTGGTGAATGTCAAAGACCGGATCGGAGGACGAGGACGTACTAGTACACATGGGACCACACAGCAGCGCCCCCGGCGGTTGATTGACTAAGTGCAACATGAAAACCATGCGGACAGTTGCCGCAAGCTTTTTTCGAAATTTTGTGTTTTTGCTTCATTTCACTTCAATGAGGTTTATCTTCAATAGTCTAGAGAGTATCTAAGACAATGTTAAGTACAACTTACCACCAACAAAGGACGTGGCGCGTCTTCCTGTGCGAAAGTTTTTTCCGGAGCGTTCCTCCCGCCTCTTCCATATACACTCGCCATCTTGGAACGGCGTGTATCACGCACAGGTGCCACCTGTTGACCATGAGCAAAATTTGAATATGCTAATTACGTTGAAAATTAGATTAACAACATGGCCAATAGGCGAGCACTACTCACAAAAAAACAAACAATACTGCATTGATCTCATAATGTTTTTTATCTTACAAAGTTAGTTTTGTTCATCATTCGACTTAATAGATTATCAAAAGAATACACCTTAGTAATTACTTTTTTACCTAGTTGCCCAACAAATAATCTTTTACATTAGAACATCAAGCCAACGAGTTTTTTTTTGCCATTCCCATGCCTTAAATTGCTCTTTATCTTTCTCACCTTTTCCACAAGAAGATACATTGCCAAACTGACACACCTCTCCATCAACCACTACACCGTCATTCCTTCACTACACATTCATCACAGCTTCTGAGCCCAGAACACATCATACAAAATGGTGTCATCTTTATTATTACCACTTCACACAGTTCCAGACATATCTTCACATGTCTGTGATAGAACGTTTCTGTTCTTTAGCCAACACATGCTTTGGCACTTACAACAATTTACTCCTGTACTATTTACAAAGTCCATTATTGTAGTGCAAAGTTAGCCTCCATAGGAGGTTCCATGTAGTATTAATCCTGTTTATTTTCTGGATACTGGTAAATACTATGGTAGTTGCTGTCTCTGTCAGCAACCAATCAGCACAAAGAAAACACAAACTGGAGTCTACTATGGAAGCTAGTGCAAAGCACCAATTCTGCATCAGGTATTGTAGCACACAGTAAATAATGTTAGGGAACTATGAATAGACTTAGAAAAGAGTTATTAATGTACAGTATACATGTATGTATAGGAAAATCTTAAGTAGCAGATGCTATCGTTGCTAATGGTCCTTACTGCAATACAATAACCATGCGAGGACTTTTGTGGTGTACTAAAAGTACATGTTGCAGTTGAGTATAAACTTTTGAATTTTTGTCAGATACAAGTATCTGGGTGCAAGACATCACAATGATGTCATCAATAGTTCTGGGCCCATGTCCATTTTTACCAAAAAATACATTTTGGTTATGATCTAAATGACTACATGTATCTAAAATAATTACGTTGTAATAATTTCTGCTAAGGCCTTAGAATATGCAACAAAAGTAAGATTTTACACACTTAATAAGATTCCTACCTACACAGTGTTTGGCATAACTAACGAAGAGACATAAATGTATTATCTGTAATACAAACAAGAAACAACTTACACATTTTTGCAATTCTGATATGTTAGCTGTCAGCAGTTAGTGACATTTCTGCAAAGGCTCATCTTAAACTAAGATGTTGTCAACAGTATGTTCACTGCAACTCAATTGGAATGTTATCAATGATGTCATAGATATTGAATAATTAAAAGTTGTAACTATCAGTAGCTTTTTTTATATTTGATGGACACTCATACCATGTCTAGCATACATGTTACAATGTTGACCACTTCTTTTCAGTGAACATATTGTGAACATACATGGACCAACATACATCAACATACCAATGTAAGACAAACAAGTCTAAGGGCACAGTTACAAAAGCCTGTATGCATAAAAAGCCTTAGAAGCATTTGAGACAAAAAAATACTGTTTAATCATACAAATTCTTTACTTTTAGGCAACAGATTCAGGCACTTATATGTTCTACTACTACTATAACACCCTCCAAATTAGATTGAATTAGTTATTGATATCAATACATTACACAGCAAGCCTGTACATATATAATACACACTGCATTAGACCAAAAACAGTTTCACATGAATCAGACTGGAATGTCGACTCTGCCTCCAGATAGGCCATTTATATAGCAGCAACAGCACAATGTCCTCTAAGTCCTACATGTGTAGTTAAAGAGTTATATCCTTTTTGTGAGGGATGTACCTAACAGTGTTACATATCCCAATATCTCTTTCTTTTAAATTTGAGTGACAACAAAAACTTGAAGATGTTAGTAAGAAAAAGTGTTAGATTTTCTTGGTCTCGTCATATACAAGTGTCATGGCCAAAACTTTGAATTATGATATGTGCTTATATCTGATGGCTCATCATTATAATTAACCTTTATAAGATGCTTACTTCAAAACCACAAAGTTCGCTATTGGTACTGGCTCACAGATAACTCAATTTGTTAATTTGTGGTGGCCTCTTGACATGAAGTCAAAATACATGTATGTTCTACTAACAGTTCAACTTCCCAAACAGTGTTACCTACCACCCCTCCCCAAGCACATAAGTAGAACATACTCTGCCTGCACGAAACCTGTATTGTGCATAGCACTTTGGCAGAATGTCTCATTTGAAGTCGTAATCACATACTAAAGGATGACATTTATAGTTTGGAAATGTTTCACGGTTTTCGTTGTACAATTGGTCAGCGTTGCATCAAAATGTTGCCTGTTGCACATGATATCTTTTCCAACGCAACATTTGAAAACTATAGACAGGATGCCATCCTTAGGTATGTGATTACAACTAGAAATGAGACATTCCGCCAAAGTGCTACACACAAAACATTATTTACAGGTTTTGCTCAGGTGTAGTATGTTCTGCCGACATGCTCCCTCCCCATGTGTTCCATCTGTCCTTAGGTAGGCTTCCATGGTTTCCCTCCCACTGTCGTGTTGTTAGTCCTGGACGTCATGCCAGCCTTGGAGTTTCTAGATGTGTTAGTGGACATTCTACTCAACCGACCTGGGGGAGGAAAATAAAAAAAAAACTCCTTAATACGTCGATGAAGGTTAGAAATCCAGGTAATCCAGTGACTGACGAAAGCTAGTGGATACTAGCTGAAACATCTCACGTTTCCAAAATCATATCCAGTTGCTTGAGTAACTGCTTTTTGGCGTAAAACTCCTTAATGTTAATTCACAATATAATATAGTCATAAACATGTTTAAGAAAATGCATGCCATTTGTTCTACTTCTACATAACATGTCCCAAAATCAAATTTTTTGAATGTCTAATATTCCTTCAAAGGGAAGGATTGCAATTCAAATGTGCACAATTCTAGATGTCTACAACTTCATACATTGTACAACAAAATGATTTGTAAACAAACATACTTCCGGTGTCACTTGGGATGAGACTTTCATCTAACTGGTTCTGGATCTTCTGAATATGTGCACAGGAGTTAAGGAAGGTCTACTGACAATCATGATAAAAACACAAAAATTGTAACATGCATTTTTGTACATAAACAGATCTTACTGGGATTAGTGCTACATTGATGGTAAGGTTTTCTAATAAAATTTACACCAAGACCTCAAAATCATTTTACTGCACCAGAGAATCATACCTGAACTGCTCATTTTTTAAAAATTCCTTTCAGACATTAAAAAGGTTCAAATGAGGGCCTGGTGCCGTCTGAAGCTAAGCTGTATGACAGGATGCTACTTTGGACCAGTGCAGGTTAGGTGCAGGTAGACATCAGAAATACCTGCACAGCTCCAGTTTTACCTACACTAAACTGCATAATGCAGGTGGTATTTCAAGCCCAGTGTACACATAAACCAAATTAAATAGAATTATATGTTTGGTAGGTAGAGTGTGCCCGAGAAGGCTCTGCAATTTCCGGACATCTCATAACCCTTCTCTGTAATGTACCATGACAGGAAAGGATATCATCAGGTGTGAACCTCATCTTCCTGCCGGCAGGTGTGTTATCAGTAGGGACAGTCCGTGGGGTGTTCTTGGTGCGCGGAGTCTTGCCTTCAGGCTGGGCGGGCTGGCAGGACACAGGCAGGCTTCCCGTGAAGAAACCTTCCAGAAACTTCTGGGCCAGAACCTTCATACCTGAAAATGAATTAATGCAGTACCTTTAGAATGGTAGCTATAACACGTCAAGGTAAATCTAACACGGGGATTTGGGAAAATGTCATTTTCCCAACACCTCGAATGACACTTGAACTTTATTGACATTTGTAAGGTCTTTGACTACATGTAACATTAGACATAAACAGAAATACATTGTATGTGGGTACAACAAAATTAACTTAATATGTACACGGCAATAGATAAATCAATTTATACTACTAAAGGTCTAAACATTGTTTGATATATCCTATTTGTGCACAGTAAGGGTTATTACCTTCTAGCATGAAATTTAATTTATCTATAGCATGGAATGTTAGAAATTCCATATACAGGGCTTTGCCATAAGTCAAAAAGGTTGCCGCTACTGCCTTTGAAATATTGTTTTTCCCTTAGACTTAGAGAAAGAGGAATGTTATTAATAATACGTAAGTCAGTGATAAAAAAAAATAGTGGATGCTACTTGAAACATCTGACAGTTTTCACAGTTTATCAATTTCCTCATGTATCTCATTACCTGGATGTATAACCTTCATCAACATGATACAAGATACTAGACTACACCAAAGCATCCCAACCCAAACAATTACCCATTCACAATCAATCACCCTTGGTTTAATCTAAGGAATGACACACCCTCTACATTCAGGCATGTAAACATGATGTATGTGTTTGCATGTCATGATGTGAAAGGGTAGAAATCCCCAAGCATGTCCATTAAAAAAACACACACACACAACACTAACCTCCAGACAACATGAACAGATTGTCCACCCCTCTCTCCACCAGTGTGGTGGCCGCATGCGGAGCTAATCTCTCGTCTTCATCATAAATTATGATGATTTTACCTACTGCGTTTTTCTGGAAGAACCAGGTTAAGGAGAACAAAAACAAAGCATACAAGCCCTGACATACAAACATCCATAACTACATGCCATAGTGATTGGTAATTTTTTTTTTACTGCCTTGTTACAGCATATGTATGGAGTACACAGCCCAAGGATTTTGTGACGTACATCCTTCAAAACGTTTGAAATTATGAGTCATGACAATTGAGCTCTACTCCAAGTGCTGAACTCATAACACAGGCTACTAATACAAATAGAATCATCTACTTAGTACAATATCTGTAGAGATAAAAAGGATACATATTCTAGTAGCTCCTTGCTGAATGAGTTCATGGATCGGGACAGCATAGCGGACGGATAGTTGTATGCTGTAAAAAAACAAGAACCATCATCATTACCGGTATAACAAACTTCACATTACAACTATAATTCATCCCAATGTTCTGTATGTATGGACAATACATTGCGGGTTTTCAAAGAAAAATCAAACTCTACTACTGGATAAATAACAGATACTACTGGATGAGATAACTTCCGGACGTTTCCAATGACATCTGTCACTCTTCTTCAGCGTCACTGAATCAACTTTGAATGTTCAGTATGTTTGCCAAAGTGTTTAATAGGAGTTAAGTTTAGGGAGAAGGTATTTGCCTACCTCCAATGATGTGACACTGGTTGTAGGAGTCCCCATCCCGTATGTCCAGCACCAGACAGGGAGTGTTCTTGTAGGGCTGGTCTATCTTGGCCACCTGTGGCTTGGGAGGGGGGTTGTGTACGGCCTTGTCCATGGCATTCATGTCCAGCTCACCCATACCACGGATTACACTGGACAAAACACACACAACATGCACATTTCAGAACACAAATGCAAGACTAAAATTGTGTCAAAAGCTATGCTACTCTATAAATAGTACAGTTACTTAGACAACTTTACTTCTGATATAAAATTTAATGGCAGGGTTGGACAAGTCCAAAATACTGTTCGGGCAAGTTCATGTGCCCCTGGGCAAGTCAATTTTTTAATGCAAAGTATAGCTGCTACAGTGTTTGAAGCAAGTCAAACCACCTTGTTTCGATAAATAAGGCATCCAACATTATAAACTCCAAAATAAGATAATTACCCTGGTGGTAGTAAAATGCATAGAAATATGTATATTTTGAGCAAATGAAAAGTTGGTTCAGGCAAGTGGAAATGACCTAGGGCAAGTGGATTTTTGGAAACTTGTCCAACCTTGAATGGGAAACACCATTACACATTTCCTATGTATATACACCACAAATCATTAGAAAATTTTCAATGTTTAAGTGCAGCAAAAATCAATAATGTTGTATGCACATCTAAAAAATGCTTACACCTGTGAATATGTAATACCAAGAAATTGTGGACTTTTCAGTGATAAAAGGTGGCAATGTTGCTAAAACAGGATGTGAGTGCTTTTTAGGACTAAGTTTCAGTGTTTGGGGTTTTTGGCTGTTCTGTGCCTTTGTTAGGCTTACCCAAAGTCCCACTGACTGTTGTAGCTGGCAGCACTGCCAGGGATGTACAAAATATATCACATTATTATATATGACTCCCACTGTAAACATATATTATCCTTCAGTATATATATCAAGTGTTAACATTTGAGTCATTTTTCCTACAATGTAGTGGTGGATTGGTCATCCTGTCATACTATACGACCTGATTACATACTTCCTGTCCTAACATGAAAAAAATGTTAGGGTAGAGACTCCGATCTGGTAGATTCTACTGGTAGATTCCTGCCATTTCAGATCAATGGATTGACTTGAAATTTATGGTTAATGAGACACCACTGTTGACAAAGACTCCGATTGGGATCTTTACCGACCAGATCAAAGTTTCTACCCTGATATACATACAGGGATCAAAATACTGGGTACATGTGCACCTTCATATAGTGCACCCAAATTTGGAGCTGAATTTGAGCCCTGTACATCATCATTTCTACAAAACTACAGAAAAAAGATGTCCATAAAACACAAGAAAAGTTTCTTTCAACCAGCTGACCTCTGTAAGGTTGACCTTGGTGATTCCACGTCGTTCAGCCCGTAGTCTCCCTCCGTGAGAGCGAGAGATGGGACGGGGCTGACTCGTGACGTGTCCGCGTCTCCACGAAGGTTTGCTAACTCCAGGTCTGTGGACTGGGTCCGCTGTGACTGGATGTCTGGGGGAATACATGTATATTACATAATTGGACAATGCAACCTCTTCAATCTGTCAATACTTTGTATAAGAGTAATATCTGAGGATGAGTACAATGTTAAACATACATAATCTTTTATCATTTTTCAAGAAACACATCACCTGAGCCTACATGCAAGAGATAGAATCAACATAAACCACAAGCCTCATTCTAAGCATTCGGTTTTAAAAAAAGAGTTGCAATGAGTGATGAATGAAAAAAAAGGTCTGATAGAATTAAATTCTAATTTCTATATTAATTTGCCATTACATTACAGATAGCTAGTTGCAACCACCTGTAGACTTGGGACTAGATGACTGTAAAGGTAAACCATTTTACGACAGTGGGTACATAGGACTTCTAGTTACACCTAACTACTACTATGTATTATTTTTTTTATCAAGGGTAAAGAGCAGAAGACTTACCAACTTCCCTAGCATCCTCCTCTGCCTCCTCCTCCATGTTACTGATGGCTGCAACTTGTAGGATCTGGGAGGGACGCCAACAGGTGTCATCAGGAAATTACCTCACACAAACACTATACATGTATAGATACAAGTACATGTATACCCATATTCATAGGGCATTGTTTTCTATCGGAATAGGCAAATAAATTGGACATAAAATCACACTGACACGACTGTCACTGCCATTCTAGAAATATGATAATTAGTCTCGAGGTCCATTAATTAGCCACTTGTAAAACTTATCCTCTTATTTGACTCCTGACGTCATCATAATTCCAAATTCTGGAAAGTTATTGCAGTGAATCAGTCATCTGACAAAGGTCGAAGATATAGACCACTGGTGTTGCATTGAAGCAAAGCTTAAATTTTACAACAGTTTTTATGGATTCTACCAACACAGATAAAATTTCATTCAAAGATCCCCTTACTAGTATCATTTTATCACATCTATGGTGCTGTCAATTTTATTCACGTTACAGGTCACCCTCTGAACATGTTGTGACATTTGATGAAGAATAGGAGAATAAGAATCTCATTAAAAATTCATGGAGGAATTCTACCCCAGCATTAGGCTGACAAAAGTGCTTTATCATCATAAAGTGATGCTGGGGGGATAACACTTAACCTGTCAGTCATAATACCGAAGTGATATTTCTCTTCTTTCTTCAGTTACCATTTTCAATATCTACATTTCTGTGACTTTTCTCCATGATAATAAGGTATGTACATGTATGCAGAAAGTAGCCTACCATTCTCACATTTTCCAATCTATTTCCCACAATTTTAACCTATTGTTATATTTACACATCTATATTTTATGCCCAGAAATGTACGTTTAGAGTGTGTGACTAAAATTGCCAATTTCTTTCGTCACCATAGACCACTCGATTTTAGCTACTGACATCTATCTACAAAAAATTCTACATCAAAATTTATCCTCAGTTGTAAGTGATTTTCTTGGTCAAAATGTTCCTTTCTAATCTTATACTGTCTGAAGTGATGATAGATTTTGAATAGTGATTAGCACATTTTAAGAATTCTGCTCATCCATTATTTAATAGAAGAATGCTTTTAACAGGTCAGTGCTCAGCGATAAGTCTGAGTCTTTGCTGAGTAACAAAAATATGTGGCTGCCTTTTGGAGTATGTTGAGGTCTACTTGTACCCGTAGGAATGTGTAAGCACTACACTACAGATAATCCCTGGACCAGATTTCAGCACATGTCTGGACCCAGCCACTGCACACAACCTGCAGACATTGGTAACCCTGACAACATTTCACCTGCGGTAATCCTCATTCTTCTGGAGCACGGGGCCTGAAAGGACCCCTGAAAGCGAGAGAATGGCTCCTCAAACACTAAGTGGCCATTACAAATGCACAACTGTTGTTTCTAGTGCGTGTGTTTGGCTAGGGGTTAGCAGCAATGTTATTCTGGGTGAAAAGGAAAGTTTCCTACAGAATTTTCACTAAACATTTTTTCAGTATGTGCCTTTTCCACTTTCAAATGACTTTTCAAACTAGACGGGGCATTTTTTTGCTTACTAAATCTCCCTTACAATAACTAAAGGCTACAACTTAACTTTCAGTATTTTCACCAAAACTAAAAGCCACAGGAATAGTTATTGCAAACAAGCCTGGTACTAGTATTTTTCCCCCACAGACTCAAAGAATGTTACTCCCAAAACAGTCCATATTTATCACCACACAATTACCAAAATTACATGTCATGTTACATATTATTATGAACAATTTCCCACAAACTATTGTCATTGGAGTCAGCTGATTAATCTGACACCAAAAAAATATATACTGTATCAGGCTCACTGTATACATGAAATTTCTTTCCAAAAGATTTCACTTAGGGTGTGAAACAGAGAAATAACCAAAGCAGCCCACAACATCAAAGCTGCTCTCCGGTTTCCAGCACCTTCACATTCACACTGAACGAGCCTTATTCCTGTGTGTTATACTAGTCAAGAGCTTTTATGCTCCAGCCTCCTGTCAAATCGGACTTGGCCCTTGCCTGGAGGGCTTCCTGCTGGGACAATTATTGTCTTTACAGTGTGTATACCCTGCCAAAACCCAAACCTACCGACATGCATGCTCCCACGTCTCGAACTGAGTCAATAGAAACCAAATGGACCTAGATTTCAAACAGGGACAACTTTACAGATCAAAGCTCTGCCATTGATTTTTCTGCGGCTAAGTTCTACTAATGGGGCCAGTGAAGGTCTAATCATGTCTCTTTTCCCTCTTGAACTTTGGAACCAATAACCCGTGAAGTCAGTAGACCAGCCCAGTTTGTATAGCACTTCTTGTGGTTAATGAAACAAAGTCCTGCTATTTCAGTGATAAAGCAATTTATTAACACCCTGCTAGCTATATATAGCTACTGTCTTTTAAAGCTGACAATTTGGTTTTAATCATTATCTAATCTATGTAGGAATCAACTTGTTGCTGCTTTTATGGTTATTAATTGTGCGGTGATGATGGCACAAATGCACCTGTTGGATTCTCTATACATGTACTAAGGTATGGCAACTCTCTGTGGTCAGTGTTTTGTGTACAGATTAGTATTTAGGCAGATGTTTTTAACATACCTGAACCTCTACAGGGCCTTTTAACTTCTAATCCTGACTTGATGAGCTTTTTGATTGAAAAAGCACCTGATAAGTCCTGTACACAGAGGCCTCATGGCAACAGGCATTGGCTTCCTAATCCCTCAGGGCTGATCCAGCTTAGCACTCCGAAAATTAAATAGATGGTCAAACATTGTAGTCGACTCCTTCCTATACCTGTGCTTTCACCTTTCTGTATGTCTGTACACAGTGTGTATATAACATATTGGCTGGGACATTATCTTTTACTAGTTTTAGTTTTTCAAATCTTAAAATCTGATGATCTTAAAGAGACAATCAGCCCTGATACTGTTTCATTCTTGATTGTAAGTTGAACTACCAGTCCTTTACACCTTGCCTTGTGGGATTGCATACAGGACGTAGTTTTCCGATGGCAACACCATAAAAATTCCTTGCCAGGTAATCAGTTGTTATTGAAGTTCAGGGTCAATTATTGCCTATACTGCCTCCCAAGAAAAAAAAAAGACAGGGGTGTACAGAGCCATGGCTGAGTGCAACTTGCTCAGTTCTGAGGGACGACCCAGTTCAACTGACACTAGGCGGATTATGTTCTGTCTAAAGAGGATCTCGGATCTTCCCTGTATGAGGTGTAACTTTAGAATAACAAACAAATACGGCAACACTGATACAACGCCCACCTTTAGAGACAGCAAACACAAAATTTAACTACAAACGTAGACAGAACTACTCACCAATTGAGCAAATGTCGTGGGTTTCATCCTCTTGAAGATCTCATCCCGGCGATACTTGTAATCTGTGGAGAGAACAGAGAAGCGAAATCAATGGATAGCCCAGAATTTGTTTGTTCAGCCCGCCAACAGGCCCAGTATGACCGGAAAGCCTAGCAACAGGGAGAAAGTGAGAGAGTTTGGGAGGTATAGCGGCATTACGAGGCTCGTAGTGGCTGGGATGTTCGCTGAGAACGACGTTCAACAGTCGCTGTGCCTCCTCTTTACGACGGTTGACCCAATAAGTCGTCATCGGGCACCCCTCGTAACTCGAACTGGGCAAGAACGATACACGAAACGCCGGGGACTGGCGTACTGTGCTGATACACAAGTGTCGGGAAAGGGCATCGGGTGTCGCTAGGGGCAATGTACACATCATTAGTGATGCAGGGGGATCACATGCGAGTGTTAGCGGGACTCACACACCACCACAGCACAAACAAACACGGCATTTGTAGAACAAAGAAATGACATTAATTAACAGCAATGCAAGGTGGTAGATAAACAATTTATTGCGGCCTGCCAATACCAACTCCGTCATTCGGAAAAACACAAAGATTCCAGGGCAGAGGCATGAGGAAATGATTGCAGATCATACAAACAGTCTGAATGGGCCCATTGACTATGTTGAGCTGCAGTCAATGGGGCTTGTAGGGAACAACATAAGCACCTTTATTAACAATTCAGACTGGGGAAATGGCTGGCAATGTTTGAGTTCTATTAGTTGCCATATCAACGATGCAGGTCAAACAAAGGCCAATGGGAATGAATGGTACAAATGGCAGGGACATATCCCACCTGAGTGGGTGCCTAGGGATTATCTGTCGCTTACACCCATTGGGTAAATTTGCTGATGATGACAATCACATTGGGGTTCACAAGCAGGTGTCAGTTTGCTGAACAACCAACCGTCAATTTGCTGTTACTGGTAGAATGGCAACAAACTGTCATTAGGTATTCCCTGCAAAAACTTCCAACAATTTCAGTCACTGACATTTTGCCTTACAGATTTCAGTATGCTAGAGTTGTTGAAAGGAAAAAAAAAAGACTATGACTATTTACTTAGAAAATTTACTTTAAAAATCCAGTTTTCTGCCCTGAATTTGCAAAATTAGATTAGCTGGGCATCCTATTTGTATGCTGGGGAGAGACTAGCTCCTAAGAGTTTTACCCACAATTTTTTGCTTAAAGTTAAACCATGGATCATTTTAAAACAGAAGCGTTTTGTTCTCACAATGGAAATTCTCAGGTACAAACTACAAAAGCTGAATTTTTTTGCACCTGTTGGGAGTTGGACCACAGGTGTCAAACTCAGCAATTAGCAAGTTTTAAACAACAGTGATTGTCAAGATCGTGGTGTGAGATTGACCAAGATCAAATATTGACATATCGTGGGCCACAACATTTAAACAATATGTTCTGATAATAGTTCATTCTAATCAAATGTTGTCATCTTTGCTTAAACATGCAACCAGATAACTTTCAAAAGAAGTTTTCAACTTCTGAGAATGATTGATAAAACTAAAGGTAGAAAACATGTTAAGTAGGTGAGTGGGTTCCACAAAAAGTACCATATACACTTTATCAACTATCATTGCTTGGATACTCCCAAATAACCAAAAAAAACATTTGATTGAAAATTAAGTTGTAAGATTGTCTCAGTGAATAACATCCCGTGTTCTTGCAAATAAATTAAAACAGATTCGTGCTGAAATACGTAATTGTTGATCTGGTTGGAATACGTAAAACCTGATTTAAAAAAAAAACAGTTCGGCTGAATATAAATTAATGTGCCCATTCAATTTGAATTAACATGATTTTCAAAATTTTTAGTTTTCATATTAAGAAGAAATTCACAGGAAATTACACATCTAGAAGAAATTTCAAAATACCCATTCTTGTTTTTAATTCACTTTTCCCAGTAATAATATGATCCGAAAAAACTTCTAAATCCTTGTTTTCAGGATCAACAACACACTTGACTCTTAACTTGAAGTTGAATACCAGTCAGTTGAACAAGTTAAGGCCAGTGCACAAAGGAGCTTCTAGATTAAAAGCATTCTTTTGCACTTGCCTCCTAGTTTCATGCCCTCTATCGTCATTGCACAAATAATCCTGCCTGCATTTATTACTCAGGTGCACCAAGAAGGTTATAACCTCCTTGAGTGCACATTGTAAAAGCTGCGTAGTTGTAGCCATGAAGGATTAAGGTTGTTAGGGATTAACAATGCACGGTCTACGCAAATGAATGAGCTGTGGTGGCAACAGGCCCTTTCTGAGGCTTGTACTAAGTTGTAGGTCACTAATCTGTGCTACTGACCACTTAGATACGCATTAACATGTAACTATGTAACACTGTGGCAAACGGAAAGACTATATTTCATTTAGTGTCATACAAAGCTAGAAATCATTACTAGTACATGTTTCATCGGAGCCGCAATTTTCTCTTTTAAAAATCATATGGGGTTGTGCACTTGTGGTATACTTCAACATTGAACAATTGACAGGCAGGCACATTCAATTGTTCTCCAGTCTCCACCTACCAATATATTTCAATAGCTTTGTTGTATGACTCTTAAATTACAGCAAACACTGGTAGCTTTGGATTGTGCCTAAACCCCAAACCTGAGAACAGTACTTTGGTATAAACCTACATTGTATTGAGACTAACATCATAACATTGCAACTGACATTGATACCTGAAATCCCAGGACTGACTTTCATTTTCAATCACTTTTTTATGGTACCAAGAATGTTTTCCACAAAAATATAATGACTATTTTACAATGAATTAAAAAATAAATGTTTCTGCTTAATACACATGTACATTTGAGTCTGTATCAAGAATTTCTAATTCAGTTAGGATTACCAATACCAAACAAACTACTGGATACCAGATACCCAAAATAGTTACTAAGCCAAGGGATAGTCTTGGCTTTGACAATGTAATCTACACATCAGAAACATGATAGTTAAAGAAACATTTTAAAATGTCACTTTTCATCATCTCTTTTTGATCAACTATTAAAAATAGAAATCGTCACACAACTTTCTGCTGTCAGGCAAGAAGCAGGCACACGTGGTCACTGGTTACCATAGAAACCAGGTACAGCCAGTACAGGTGTAGGTGTCAGCATGAGCCATGAAGGTATTGTTTACTCTCCAAGCAGAGGTAGGGTTTGGGGTATTTTTAGCGTGTTTTTAGGCTTTTTTATCGGGGTTTCTCTTTTGCACTGAATTTTTTTTCCACCAAATTCAGTGCAAAAGAGAAACCCCGATAAAAAAGCCTAAAAACACGCTAAAAATACCCCAAAACCCTACCTCTGCTTGGAGAGTAGGTATTGTTATCAACACAACAAAGGGTAACGAAAATTGGAGAATGCCGTCATAGTGTTCATTTTCAATGGGCCGTACAGACTTTTTGTTGAAAGAAAAAATTATCGGGAAACTGGAAGTAACATCTGGGACGACAACAGGCAAGGGCGATAAATTTTCCTGGTTTGTAAAATTATGACTCGAGTGATAACAGCTCGAGTTGTCAAAACTACGCTGGCTATTACAAGTAGTTTGTTTTGATGGCCAGCACTTCAGATTCAGACAAAATGACGGCTAAAGAAAACAAGTACAGTCAACTTTAAAGCTACAAATTATGATAGGGTAGGATGTTTCCACTTTTAAAACTGTCGATCAGAAATTGGAGGAGCAAAAATGAATGAACTTACTGGCTCGGATGTCTTCGATCTTCTTCATGTACTTGGTGAGACTTGCGCCTGAAAATTAACGTTAGTGATTTACTTGAAGTTACTGTGATCTATTCACAGTATGTCATCTTGAATATGCATTATGATCAATCAAAATATCAAGCAGCAAACGCTGCAAACTGACAAAAACTGACACGAAGATCGTGAAAGAAATTATCGATATTTTGACAACAGTTCATCGGAAGTGTACCTGTGTCGATCGTCGACTGAACATGCTTGTATTTCGGATTTTCGGGGATCCTCTTGTTCAGAATCTGAAAGGAAAAGAAGAACACGGTTGCCGTCTTGCATGTGACACATTCAGACTGGATCTAAGACGTGAGAGAAGGAGGGGAGAAGCCTTACGTCGTCTCTCTTCTTGCCGCCGCTCGAAGCCCGGCTGGCCGACATTTTGAAATGGTGATTTCAGTAACCATGCGAACTGCGCATGCGTAATTACTCCGCGCGAAAATTCAAACTGTTCTCGGGTTGCCGCAAACCGGCTAACTGTCGTAAATACGCCGTGTACATGGAAAAATTATCACGTTGCATTTTTTTAGCTTTTTTTAGAGAAAGAAAAATTAAAATTACAAAAACTGTTTTACGTCATGGAGATGTCGATTTCTCCTAACGTTAACATAAATGTTAGTGCTTGATTGCAAAGAGATTTGAAATCAAATGACCAGCTCTTCATTGCAAAACATCTATCTGGTCCAAAATATATGTCAATGAGAGTATGGCCAGAAATTCAAGCCTATTGTTTACCATATTTGCTGTGAACACTTCCCATGGTCGTCATCTGCCTAAGTTCCCACAGAATACAAACAAATACGTGTACACATTGTACAAGTGGGACAGACTAACCTAATTAATGTCAGGACTAATCAAAACTGGGTCATACAATCAGTCAGTGGCACTGATGCCAGTGATGGGATCAAGAACTGCCTGTTATAGGTTAAGCAGATTAGAAGTCTATACCACAATGTTTCATTGTATGACTGAATAGAACTGTAGGGAGATGGAATGTATTGCCTTCAAACACAATAATGACTGTTGAACAGATAGAATTTCACTATAACTTTTATTTCAGATTTTACTTTCCAAAGTCTTAAATTAGGATACTGATTGTGTAAATGAGGCAGGAAGATATAACATTATAGACTTTAATACTGACAGACAAGATAGTACGTACAGGTCATAGAAGATCATTGTTTCTGTTCCTTTTACACACTATAAAGAAGACATAAGTGAGAAGAAGCTTTAAAATAGTGTAATATTTAACGTTAGGTCCCTGGAATAATTGTAAAAGCAAAGATCTAACATGACCCTGGTAATATTTAATCAGGCAGTACATGTATCTTATATGAATGTAAATGACTGAGAAACTCTTCATACAACAACTTCAGTACTTTTTAAACCTGCACGCAAACACTTGGTACAATCAAATTCCTTTTCCTTTTTTATAATGATATTTACAGATGGACATTCATTTTCTAACAAATACATCACACATATTATGATAATCAGTATAAATCTATGGTGCTGGTTATTTTGGGAACATGATTACACTATGATGGCAACAACAGATAAATTTTATTTGTTTCGGAACTATTTTGCATGACATCTCATTTTTCCCACACATGATTCATTACATGTTTCCTGCTAACACATCAACCTATTGTGTCAGCAATTCTATTTGCTACCATTTCCTAGTAAAGTGAGGCTCTCCAGCCTTTCTGTGACCTTCCCTGCAGCGTCCTCAAGACTATGCTGTAAGATATGACAACCTTTAGTTGATATGACGACTAGTTCCCACAGGCCATCCCTTGTCATGTCCAGATATGCCAGGGCCAGGATAGGATGGGCAAAACTCCTCCTCCACAGGAGAGTGAAGTCTGATTCCAGACTGGCTGATTTTTCTGACGCGACCGAGCTGTTCGACTTGTGTCTGCCCCTGCCGCTGCCCTCGCAGTACTTGTACACGATCAGCTCCTGTCCGTAGGTTCCGATGATGACCTCGTTCTCGCCGTCCCAGTCCACGTCTCCGACGCAGCAGCACAGCGCCGAGTCATACAGGTTACTCTCCGGGAGGATGGCCTGTCTGGTCAGGCCGCCCAGCATCACCTCTCGGTACACCACAGCTAACTCTAACACACTCGTCACTACAAGGTGGTACTCCCCCTCTTGGGTAGTGTGGATGGCAGGTAGTGGGGACTTGGCACTCAGTGCTGCTGGGCGAGGGGTGTCTAACTTGGACCTGTATATTCTTACTGATGTGATAGGGCCATCATGTTGCACACCTCCCATGCACTGGATTTCTTTGGAAGCCTCGTTGACAATAGCTACACTCACGTGGCCATCTTCACAGCCGAATGCAGTGATCCTTTTTTGCCCCGCCACTCTCTCTGTATCCAACCAAACCGCATTGCCGGGAAGGCTGTCAAACTCCGGGAAGAAGTCGGCAATGTTCTCCTCCATGAACTGGTTGGTTTCTCTGTCCTGCCTGAAGAGGTGGATCTGTTGGTCGCTCCCTCCTAGGAGAAAGACGGTGTCTCCCCCGTCCTCATCACACAGCCGTGTGTGTGTTAACTGGAATGGGATGAACTGAAGTTCGATGTTACACATGCAGCTTTGCGCGAGGGTGTCCAAGCTGTACTCCAACCCACTCTCTACACCAGCAGAGTAGATGTTGAGATACTGTGCAGGACTGTTGCTGGGATCCTTGATAAAAGTGATGCCGATGACTAAACCCCCTAATATTCCAGGCTGTGGGCCTTCCCTGTTAAAGGAGTCTATAGAAACGATGTCTGCATCACCTGGGATGTAAGCGAAATGGATTTCTCTAGACACTAGCCTCACCACGCCTTGTAGACGCTGGTACTCCAAACAGAACATATTACCACCACTGAGGGATGCCACGAGAAGCTTGTTGCCTTCCCACGTTGGCATGGACAGCACAGACAAGCCGTAGACATTGCTTTGGGCGGGAAGCCTGGAAAAACTGGCTTCGTACATGCCGATATCTTTACAAGCAGCCATGTTTTTCTTCGTAACCTTTGACCGTAGATGGTAAGGTGCAACCACGCCACCATGAGGCCAATATCAGTACTACATGTAAAGTTACATGCCTGGTCTTCATCACCCACCTGTTGATCTCGTGACAATACCAACGAGACAACCGACGACCATCAATACTCATCCTACGTTTAAACTACGTGATGATCATGTTTTATTTCCTTCCCCAATGTTAAATATCATATAACATTAGCGCGCTACCAGCCGTTCAACTCCTTTTTGCGGTCACATCATATCACAAGATAACCACAGTGTGCAAATCTAATAGTTCTGTTTACCGAAGGAAAACATATTGTCTTTGCTCTGTTTCCTCTTCTTCTTCTCCAAACCAATAAGGTCAATGATCCGAACTAGTATATCACCATGGTAACTAGTCTTGGGCATGTTGCAAATTTATAGCAGGAGTGATTTATAGACTTCTATCTGACCATAACTATTGTTATATACTATGAATATGTTTGAGTAAGAATTAACAGAGCAGCCCACACCCCCCCCACCCCCCGCCCGCCATGCCATGTGCGAAGGTAAACATTATGACGATGATGTATTTACTTTGCAAATGTTACCTTTCTGGTTTACTCAGTATCACCTGCTCCACTATTTGTGACGTCGCTTCCCTTCATATTTACCTCTGTCTGATAACGCTTCACCATCTGGCAAGTCTCACATGACAAACACAGAGGCGAATATATAGGTTTGGCAGCCTGCGCACTTTTCAGTTCTACTGAGTTTTTCTCCCGAGTCACCGTTAAAATCAAACTGTGGCAGTATGGTCCGTGTGTTGTTCCTACTGTCCGCAGTGCTGACCGTCCCTGGCGTGCTGGCCATGGTACAGCGTCAAAACGCAAAGTCTACTACGCCACGCCCGACCACAACGCACATGACCACGCCACAGCACCCGACCACACCGCATACGACCACGACACCAGAGCCAACTACTATTCCGAGTGGCTGTATGGGCCAGGACGGACAATTCCACGCACCCGGTTCTACTTACCACCCTACAGGTATGCGTCAGGATACCGTACAGTACGATCGACTGGTAACGTTAGACTCTATAGCTATCAACCCTCTGAAGAAACTTGCCATTACATTGCCAGTTAATTTGAGGAGTCATGTCTAGTTTTGTTCTAGACAGAGAAAACAAAGTACATGTCCGATCTGCATTTTTTGCATGTGGAACAGAATGTGTGGTTAACCATTGTGACACATGGCAGATATTAAAGTTGACAATTACAAAGACGAAAATGCTGGTGCGCTGGAACTGAGCCACGGTCGTGATTAGTACCACATCTTTGTTTTTATCTGAAAAGATTCTGCCGTACACTCTCGGGCTTGTAACTTCTTGGACGACTGCCGAGTTCAAGGCAGCAGGCCAGAGAAATTGTTGAAAAACATGTTGTTGTACCACATGCAAGGTTTTTAGTGGTCTGGTGTGATATCGCACTAATCGCAGCTAGGAGATTGACTTGGCAGGATTCTAGAGAGTAACTTGAATGGAAATATACATGGAGATAGAAAAAAGGGGCAGAAAATGGCAATGGAAAATGTTCCGCATGTTGCCACACACATCTCATTTTAATGATACTACAGCCCTGACCCATATACTACCATCTTCCACCACAGGGGACAAGTGTTACACCTGTCATTGTGACTTTGGCTTCGTCAACTGGTTTGACTGGTCCAGTACTGTCAGCGAGAGCTGTCACTACACCGACTGCGCATGTCCACCATGCGTGGATGACGTCATTCCTCCTAACCAGTGCTGCCCAACTTGCCCCAATGGTGAGCGGATGTTTGCCACTAAAAATAAAAATAAAATAAAATAAAATAAAATAAAATAAAATAAAATAAAAATAAAAATAAAAATAAAAATAAAAATAAAAATAAAAATAAAAATAAAAATAAAAATAAAAATAAAAATAAAAATAAAAATAAAAATAAAAATAAAAATAAAAATAAAAATAAAAATAAAAATAAAAATAAAAATAAAAATAAAAATAAAAATAAAAATAAAAATAAAAATAAAAATAAAAATAAAAATAAAAATAAAAATAAAAATACATGTAAAAATAAAACAAACATAAACATAAACATAAACTGGAAGAGAGTACAGAGTCATCAAATTATCGCTTATTTGAAGATGTATATGAATAACATATAACTATAACAAACCATGGAGGTAGAATACCCCTAGAACCTCATTGAACAAACTGACCATGAAATATGACATGGGCTCTTAATATGAAAGACAGAGTTATGGTTGGTTGCATTTCATGACAACATGCTTAACTCTGCTGGTGATCATGAATTTCTGTCCCCACTAGGTCACAACTGTAACGCGATGGGTACGGTGATCCCGGCCGGTAGAGATGTGCAGGTGAACGGCTACACCTGCCGCTGTCCCGACACCTCCGGGTTTCCGTTCGGCCGTCGCAAGCGGTCCACCGTCGCTCGGAGGGGGCTACGGTACTTTTCGCCGGTCTTCGGCGACTGTACCCGATTCTTGGAGGCCACCTGCTACCTTACGACGACGATTCCTCCTTCCACAACAGTACCAACTACTGTACCAACATGTACAACTACAACCCCGACAACCGTACCGGCTGGCATATGCTTTACAGACAATGGAGTCTACTATCCAGGCCAAACCTGGCATCCAAACGGTGGGTAGCTGCTAAAACGTGCATGTCTTCATTTGCACAATACATAGCGCGGTACATGTACGGAAAGGATAGGTGGCATGGAGTGTATGTGGTGGCATGTGTAAAAAAACAACCAATTCTGCCGTTTGAAAAAAAGTTTTTAACCACACCTTAAATCGTACAGAAAAATTGTGCAAAAAATATGACAACTATACCAATGTCGTAGAATGCCAAAACCAAACGAAAAAGACGAAAATGTAAAGAAATGAATTTGAAGAGTAGATTATTCGGCTCTTCGCCATAACATGCCCTGCGTCTTTTGTTCAACCTTCATGACCACGTAGATTTCGTAATGAAAGCAGCTTTTTTTTGACAAACTTTTTTTATTCGCACGCTTGCATAAGTTTTGGGGCCCCCAGAGGATGTCATACATATAACAAAATCATCATAGCCTTACAATGTCTACTTTCTATAACCCAATAGGAGACCCGTGCCACACGTGCACGTGTGAGTTCAACTCCTGGCAGAGTACGGCTCAGGAGATGTGTTATTATGCCGACTGCGCATGCCCATCGTGCGTTGATGAGGTGATTGACCCTGGCCAGTGCTGTCCTAGGTGTCCGAACGGTTAGTAGAACCTTCTTTCCTTGCTGAGCAGTCCCTCTACTATAATTGCTTCATATACTAGTAACTCGAGTTTCCTCTAGATGTTATATTCGATAAGATACATGTTAAATACCCTTCCACAATTTCCGAAAAATAATTTTATCGGGTTGGCAGAACATAGGATATTGGAGGGTTTTTTTACACAACCAGCAATGTCTCTCACTTGTTAACGCTTCAATGCCTACTAGTAAGCTGGTGTGTTACGCCGAAAGGCGGTTATACCGGCTATACAGATACAGATAGTATCAACCACACCAATGAATCGGGACGAGGGGGATACAAGCTCAGCCACGTACGTTTGGGATTGTGTTCTCGTCGCAAAAGCGCCACCTACATAGAGCGGCATAGAAGCAGTCCTCCAGTCAGAAGCTCTGAGCAAGGACATTATACAGTATAATGTCCTAGCTCTGAGGAAGATAGTTAGGCATCAGAACGTAAATACAAGCAGGTGAGAGACTTTACTGGCGGTGTAAAATTTTCAAAAAAGTTCCTAATCCTGCCGGCAACTTCCCCCACTAGGTGACAACTGTAACGCGATGGGTACGGTGATCCCGGCCGGTAGAGATGTGCAGGTGAACGGCTACACCTGCCGCTGTCCCAGCACCTCGGACTATCCGTTCGGCCGTCGCAAGCGGTCAGTTCGGAGGGGACTTCGGTACTTCTCGCCGATCTTCGGCGACTGTGACCAGTTCTTGGAGGCCACCTGCGATCGTCCGACGACAGTTCCCTCAACCACAACAGTACCAAATACAGTTCCAACAACTAGACGCCGACTGCGTCCGGTTTTGGCAGGCAACCTGTGACCACATCACAACCATGGTCCGACTTCTACAACCAGACGTGACAGATGCATTTGAAAAAATAAATGGATTTTTGAAAAACAGGATTTCGTTTGTTTCATTGGGTCTACAATTTTTTGTCTGCTATTACTGAAAGCTGCCGAGCGCTTCGAATTCTAAGAAAAATTTTGTTGCCTTCCAACGATAATGTATGTCTCAGCAAAGTGTCTACATCGTTGAAAAATGCTTTAAACATGCTGCACCGATGCGGTCACGTCGTCCTTCCAAATCCATTACTATTTAGGATATCTTATCAAATAACACATCCGTCATCTGTTTAGTTTCACACGAACGCGAATAGGATTGGCAGCTTGTGGATTTTCAATATATAACCCTAGTCTGTACCTATAGTCTGTACCTAGGTTTGTGCAAAGTGTGACAGAATGGCACTTGCTCATGTCTTGATCCTACTTTTAGCGGTACTCACCGTTCCTGATACGTTTGCCACGGTAAAACGTGCTCGCCAGGCTGACAACAGCGAGCTATGGACATGGCTAACAACTACAGCAGTTACTACAACTATACCAACTCCGACCCCCGGTTGTGTCAGCTCGTACGACGGGCAGATGTATGGGCAAGGTTCTACCATGCCCACAGGTATGGATCGGGATAGTTAGTAAATTCCTGTGCTTCCAGAAAGCAAGAGTGGACACACAGTGGATTATAATGCCCGCTTGTGTGTGTTTGGGTCAAACTTTGAAAACTTCCAAAATCGCTCCATCAATGACATTTAATAGTATTTCGAATAAAGTTTCCTGTACTATGACTGTGTCATACATTATATTTTGTATTGTAGTCTTTTTCATGTATATATTAAGTTTATGTATAACTTGTTATATGAAGTTTTTTTATATGTAACGTTAGAACACTTTCTTGGACTAACGTAACACGTTAGAAGATACCCTCTACACCAAATAGAAGAATTAACATTCCAGTACCACATATTAGGATAAAAATTATTTTGTAATTATAGTTAGTAGTTTCCGGCTGTCTACACCACAGGAGGAGACGGGTGTAGGGAGTGTACGTGTGACGATTTTTGGTCCAGTACTGTCCAGGAGAACTGTCGCTGCATATGTTGGTGTTATTGCTCACCGTGTGTTGATGAGGTTTCTAACGGGTGCTGCCCTACTTGCCCAAACGGTGAGCATTATTAGCAAATTGTGTATGTACAAAGCATAAGCCAATGAAAAGAGACAGACCTGATTATAAAGAGACTCTTTTACAGTTGTAATCTGATGTACACTTCGGGCAGGAAAAGAAAATAATTGTGCTAGGTAGGTGATGACATGTCTCAAATTCTGCGTGAAAATCTGCTTCTCTAGGTCCGAACTGTAACGCGATGGGTACGGTGATTCCGGCGGGTATGGACGTGCAGGTGGACGGCTACACCTGCCGATGTCTCCACGACACGGCATTTCCACCCCCGCACGGCAAGCGGTCTGCCATGGCTGGGAGAGGTTCCCCCGCCTATGGCTGTGAACCATTCCTGCAGGCTGTCTGTCAGCCCATCATAACAGGACGATAAATAGAATCGGATCAAAGCTGTTCAAAACCCTGACTCTGCGAATTACTTTATTGTCTCCAGTGTTTAGAGACTTAGTTTTGCCTATGCTATTTCCTTAATTAATCAATGACTGATAAAATCAGAATATATTTTAGATTTTGAAAAGTTTAAAAAGCTAGAAGCCATGAAAAACGCAAAATTGAAACATTCTAAATGTGTAGGTGGCAACAGGACTGACAGTGGTACCTTTGGTCACTGCCATGGTACTCGTACCCACAGCTAGTTAGAATACAGACCTCAGTGGAAATTTGGTCATGTCCACGTCTTACCGATCTTACCGTGTTTATCTAAAATTATCTACAGGCAAACACGCACCTCCAAATTGGCTACTGGTTCAGAGATAAGGACATTGTAGAGTTTACTTTGTCAACGGCTTCACTCTAACGCCGTCCTGCCATTTGTGTATATGATGACATCCACCAATAATTTCACATGTGCTTAGTTTCACATGACACAAAGACATGTAATAAATAAAGTTTCAAACATATATTTAGTAGACACCGTGACGCATCTTCTCAGATGTAATTCTCTTGCAAATGTTGGCGCTCTCATATCAGCATACCAGCATGGCCTGTGTGTTCATACTCTTGTTTGTGGCACTGATGACCGTACCTGGTGTGTTCACCATGGTGAAGCCAGACCGTCATCAGGCTAAAACCTCGTTGACCACCACAACGACGATATTGCCACCATCCACAACTACTGGGTTCTTGCCAACTACAACTTGGCCTCCAACGTTAACAACTACATGGAGGCCTCCAACGACTACAGTAACCGGTTGTATCAGCTCGTACGACGGGCAGTTCTACCCGCAAGGCTCTCAGATGCCAGCAGGTATGAATCGGGAAGGGCAGTGATTGCTTTTGGGATATCGATAATGCTTCCCAAAAAAGACAAGAAAAAACAGATCACGCATGCAAGTATTAAACCTCCTAGGCGCACCATGCCAACGCTACGTTGGTGGGGTAGCGACAGAAAAAAAGGGGCATATATAGAAAGGTAAATAATCTTCCCCACCAACCTATGCTTGGAGAGTAACGGTTATGTGTCATACATACTGACTGCGCCATACTTTTGTCCTGTTGTCTGCCCTACGTTTTATGCCTTTGTACTTCCTTGGACAAACGTAACGATCACCTAGAAAAAATGTTCCAGTACGTAGAGGATACAGAAAGGCTTTATATTATAGTTTCTGCTTCCACTACAGGAGGCGGTTGTATGGTGTGTACGTGTGGTCATGCCAGTTTTTGGTCCAGTACTGTCCAGGAGAACTGTCGCTGCTTATGTATGTGTTATTGCTCACCGTGTGTTGATGAGGTTCCAAACGGGTGCTGCCCAACTTGCCCAAACGGTGAGCTTCCATTTGTCTACATTAATATTGTGCATGTGCTTGCAAGACTTTGTCGGTTGTAATCGGGCAGGCGATTAGTAAGCTGCCATGTAATATAGATATAGCCACTCTAAGTAGAGAGTTAGAAGTCAATATTATTAGGTAAATGTTATTATAATAAGAGAATAATGGTGCGGTGTGACAAGTTCCTACTTACAAATCTGCGTCCCTAGGTCCGAACTGTAACGCGATGGGGACGGTGATTCCGGCGGGTATGGACGTGCAGGTGGACGGTTACACCTGCCGATGTCCCCACGCATCGGCATTTCCAGCCCCTTGGCAATTAGGCAAGCGGTCGGTCCTGGCTGGGAGAGGCTCCAGGGCCAATAGCTGTGATCCAGGCAGGGAGGCTGTCTGTCAGCCCATCATAACATGATGATGAATAAAAAGATCAAAGCTGTCCAACCTCGGCTTCTCTTTATTCTATGGTGTTCTTGTTTTATATAGTGTTTGCTATGGTTGCCCAATGTTGCAGGTTGAATGCTTACTCAAACGAGGTACATGTAAGGCCATTTCAATGGACTTTTTGCCTAAGTAAAATTTAAGTATAATGCGGGCGGGATGATAAATAAAAGTGGATCAAAGCTGTCCAAAACCCTGACTCTGTGAATTACATAATTATTGTCTCCAGTGCTTAGAGACTTACTTTTGCCTATGCTGTTTCCTTAAAGAATCAACGGATGATAAAATCAAAATAGTTTGGATCTTAAATAGTTTGAAAGGCTAGAAGCATGAAAAACGTAAAATTAACACTCAATCACAAAATTAAAAAGGTACTGAAATAACCCATTGGTCATTCTAAATGTGTAGATGGCAACAGGGATGACAGTGGTACCTTTGGAAGTTTGGTCACTGTTATGGTAATAACTGACAGCTAGTTAGAATACTAACTTCATAAATTTGGTAATGTTCATGTCTTACCTAGCTTCCCATGTTTATCTAACATTATCTAGAGGCAACTCCACACCTCCAAATTGGCTATTGGTTCAGAGATAAGGATATTCTCAAGTTTACTTTGTCAACTCTAATGCCGTCCTCCCCTTTGTGTATACATGTATAATGACTTCCACCAATAGTATGTTCGTCATCTGCTTAGTTTCACATGACGAACGTGATCACTGTTGTTGAGCTGCATTGAATGTTAAATAGACACAAGACTACAAAATAATCGATACCTTCAAATCAATATTGGTTTAGAGACAAGGAAGTGCCAAGTTTACTTTGGCACTGTAGTCCCTACCTTTGTGTATTGACATTTCTAGGATAGTGATAGTATGTTTGTCATCTGCTAGGTTTCACATGCCAAACAAGAATAGTTTGGGCAGATTCAACACTTTTCCTCAGTTCTAACTATGTTACATATGTAGGAACTTCTAGCCTCTACCAGGCACTGCGGATCACTGGAAAAATAGTGGAAATTGGCCAAAATAAAGGGATGGTATACCAGAGAAGATTCCGGGCCATATGTCGCGAATTGGATCTTCTATGGCCCAGGAACTCAACTGGTTCTCAGAACTTCAACTGGTGGACCTGCATGGACACTAGTGTACTGCTTGCAGTTGCAGTACTATCTATTCCTACTGTATATGAGTTTATCATGGTGCAACCATCAGGCTAAAACACCAAGTCAGTGCCGTGGACCAATTCGCAATGTGGTAATGTAGCATACTACAACCCCCATCATTGCTCCTACTATACTGGTCACACTCTCAACACTGCCAGGCACCAGATGCACATGTTAAGTGAAACTGATGACCTTTCCTCCAATACTACCCCCTATAGCTACCCTGGTTTTAAACACTTTATCAAAGCAGAATTATGCTAGGCCTTGTGCAGGTTTCTTTTGAAGCTACATGTATGAAGATTAACTGGTATACTACTGTAGGTAGGGTAGCAACTACTAGTATATCATTTTTATTATCTACATGACAAAAATGAGACTGACGACCATTACATTACTAGAAAAGCAGAACTTTGTTGTGCAACAAATATCATGGGTAACGTTACAGCTTATCTGTAAACAGTGATGTCAACTACCACCTGATCTATCAAAAAAAGTTCAAGAATTAAATTTCTTGTAGAAAATGTGCAGAAACAATGTAGAAAAGTGAAACTATTGAAAATAGCTTTCAAAAAGCAGCTTAACATTGAAAGTTAAATTAGAACAGAAGATCAGTCACCAGTTCTATTCTGAATCATACTGTACCACAGTTGTTTCTGAGGCAAACATCTTTTATCAATTTCTTGACATGATTAACTCTGCAAAATTACTTATTCTGTACTTCTGCAACAAGTGTTTCACAGGGCATAATTTTGACAAAGATTTGTGCAGCATGAATACAACTTCCACTACAAACAGCTTTTATGAGAACAGAGATAAGTGAATAAATATCACTAGATAACTAAAGGAATATAAAAAAAAATATTAAGCTATCAAACTAAAGGGATATGTAAATAGGAAAATGGACTACTCTATAAGGTTATCTATGTGGCTTAAAAAGCATAAATTAGCCAACACTAAAAGGAATAGTGAGTAAGTTCACTGTTTCTAGTCTTGGACCACTTCAAAGATGACCACAGGTAAGCATACTAGGCATTATCTATCACCATTCTTCACTAACAGATATCACATTAACATTGTCTTCAGCTCCATCTGTCCATCCATCCATCCATCCATCCATCCATCCATCCATCCATCCATCCATCCATCCATCCATCCATCCATCAATAACACCCTCTGAACTTATCTGTTTGTCTGTCCTTCCATTCTCCACCTACATGTACCATGATTTGTAAAACCTTTGTTGTACAAAATATAATCTCCCCTCTGGGTATATATATAAATAACAACCATCTCTGACAACTATGGTAAGGCACAACTGTCCACTGATGTTTGTCTATATGAGTTTGTAGAAGACATATGACCCCACAGCTACCCAGTGGCTGGCATAGTCCAACTGTGCCCACTTCTGCAGGGTGTGACTCATGGTGTAACCCTGTAGACAGAAGGAGAACAACAGTTCTTAGAATAAAAATATAACCTCCTCATCAAGCCATCAAAACCTCTAATCTAACATGTAGTTTCACTCAAGCAATACCCGTATGAAAACTAATATTGTCCAAGGTCTATTATAAGCAGCAAGAGGAAGGTCTAAATATCAAATATAATTGAAGGAAGATCTTCTGGTTTTGAACTTTTCTAACATATCTATGGGAAACAACAATGAAGCATAAATAGCATCCTAATAAACTACCATGCAGCACTGAATAAACTGGATGGTAGAACCAAAAATGTCTATAACATGTTAAACGGACAATAGACATGATTTAGACATTGCTGAACAAAGGCCAGTCTGAAGAACATTAAGTAGACATAGTTACTGAGAAACGACATCAAAATAACCCAAGGTGGACATTTTATATCGGATTCCATAGTCTCTTCACACGTCAGGTAGGGACACCCCTAGGAGACAGTCCTTTGTTTAGCACAATGCGCACTTATAAGATATTAGCATCTGTCCGTTAATTAATTGTGTCCTGCTCTCTAAATTGTCTTGGCTTTGTGCAGTGCTTTTCATATGCATGTCAGTTTTCACACTTTTTTTTCTAAAGACATTCTGACAGACACCTCATGAACAATGGAAAACACAACAAGCAAGTCCTGCCCAAAAAGACCCTGTAAAGCCCCTGTTCAGACATTCTTAGAAATGTTTGAAAAATGTCAGGAATTTTCGAGAATGTCCAAAAAGTGTCTATTTATTGTCCGTTTAACATTTTATAGACATTTTCGGCTCTACCAGTGCTTTTTTTAGTAATATGACACAGAGTTATATGAAAGTGAAACTCATTGATTTCTAGCTCTCAGGCAAAGTACTAACCCCCAAAATGCTTAAGGACACCTGTGCACATATCTAGAAAGCTGTTGACTACTGACCTCTTCTTCCACATCTGAGCTGCTATCAAACATGACCCCCAGGTAAGCCAGGTGGAACATGGCCAGCAGGCAGAAACACAGGTTGGTCAGGCCTACACAGATACAGGTCTGGGGAAGCAATTATAGGGTTTAGAACTCATACTGTTCATTAAGTTTATCTATACCTTTTGTATAGCATTATTAACTAGACTGCCCATGGTAGAAAGAACTTCACATTTGAACTTCTGTCTATTTCTAATGGCAACAATTTTTTCTAGAAGTTTGTTCAATAGTTCTACTGTTGTTGGTAGGAAAGTTCTCCTATGACAGACAGTATGAGAAATAGGAATCACCAGAGTGTTCTTTTGCTTGGATTTTGACTACCGTGTCACCACCACACCACTTTTGTTCAGAAACAAAGCCATGGTGCCACTCTATAGTACATAGTACATGTACATAGACCAGGGAAGATATTCAGTTTTTTTTAACAGTTTTGTGACTACAAATGTATAGGAGAGAGAAGCATTTTTGAGACTTCTTTTCACCTTTGTATCTTCTATGCTGATGATGTTGCCCCAGTCTTGTTTCCAGAAGTCTGTCCTGAGCTGTAGGCTGACACAGCCTGCCCAGTTTGGTCGGTTTCTGTGCTCACAGTCTGCTTTACATCGCTTGGCAAGGATACAGGCACTAAAGATGTCAGCTAGTCTCTGTCGTAACACTGCAACACAACAATATATTAGTGTTGGTGGCTAAACAACTGAGCAAAACCACAACAAGGACATCCTGGTAAACTAGAAAGTTAACATTTGCAAAGCAAATGCATAATGTTTACATTCACATATGGTCTTCTCTCTTAATTCTTAACATTCACATACAAATGTATATGGTGACAGCAGTCTATAAATCCCTCCTACTATAAAAAATTGCAACATTATGTAACCCAACACCAGTTACCATGGTGAGAGACTGGTTCAGGTCATTGACCAGGTCAGAGGTTAGTGTTTGGAGAAGAAGAAGAAGAAACAGAGCAAAAACAATATGTTTTCCTTCAGTAAACATAATGAAATACACTTAATGTACATGTGTTTTGTACTGTTTTTGTTGTTGATCATGATAGGAATATCAGTTGGCATACTAACTGAGTTTTTTTGCTATTGACTACAATCTTGTCGCAAGATATCAGCATGCGTGTCACCAATTCTCCAAGCTGGATACAAAATACATACAGATCAGATTCTAAACTTGAAGGGACACACTTAGACTACAAAAACCTATGAAACAAATTATGAAAGTACTATCTACTTGAAAATACAACAACTTAATGCAAATGTCAAGAATATTGAAATGAATACATAGTTACCATGTTCTATATAACTGTAGAATCCAAGTGATAGTAGGACAGCTGCCAATTGGAAATTAAGGCCCTGGAAGTGGGAACAATTATAGATATAAATGATATTTTACTGGATTAATTCTACATACATGCATAAATGTTGAGAAGACATTTTATTCACCCCCTAAAACATGAAATCATACACAAAAACAGTGTCAAATTACACAGAACTTCAATGTTTGGGTGAACAACTTTATAAACTTTAAACATTGCCAATCAACATTATTACTATGTATGAAAGAGTCAAACAACTGAACTCACATGTAATATTGAGCTTGCAGCATATGTCAGGATAATAGCAGGAAAGGCACCTAGTGGTTTTGCAGTTTTGAAGACATCTGGAAAAAAAAAGAAATAAAATGAAATACACATGTATTACTGTAGAACTGCACTGACATATTGCACTGACAATTCGTTTTTTTTCCTTGTATAGTAACAACAACTTTCATCACAAGATACAATTAATAACCAAGAAAAAAGGAAGTCTCACAGGTTTTGAGCCAGTGGTGCATGGGTCTGTTCCAGTTGGTCACTACCTCCACTAGAGAGCGGGGCAGCTCAATGTGGTATGGACGGGCTACTCTCAGGTCCCTAGATGTAAGAACAATGAATGATGGAGTTACAAACTAGAAAGGTACCATTTCCAAACCAAACACATAATGTTTACTTTCACATGGTTTTGCCCAAAAAGCTATTGCTCTGTTTATTCTTACTTAAACACATTCATATACATGTACATGTATAGTGACTACCCCCTCTAACTCATAATGTAATCCAACACCACAGGGTGTCTGCTACATCACCAGTTACCATGGTGACAGACTAGGTCAATTGACTGCAGTGTTTGGAGCAGAAGGAGAAGGAACAGAGCAAAGACATGTTTTTCTTCTGTGAAGGTAAGCATAAGAAATATCTACATGTTGGACATGTATGTCAAGAGTCACATACCATTTTACATCTTCTTCCTTTTCCTCTCCCTGCTCAGTGCCCTCCCCCTCCCTGGTGGTCCCCTTCTCTGTGACACCCACTCCTGACACCACACAAGTCATCTCTGACAGGTAACTGATGAAGTAGTGGCTAAAGCGGAAAGACAGTGCATCACGGTACGCTGTAACCCACCTGAGGAACAACACAAAGAAATATTGATAACTCCACTTCCTTTTGTGTGTTTGACTCCTTGAGATTTAATTGGTAGCACACTTTCTTGTTCTTCAAAGTTAACCAATATGGATTTAGCATACTAGAATCTCATTATTGACAGACTGCAGTAATACGTAAAAACTATTTTATGACAGCTGCCGAGAAAGGAAGGAAGTTTCTTTGACAAAAGAAAAAGTACAAGCAAATAGGCAGCATTGGAAAGAATACAAACATGTTGGGTAATGGCTCAGAACCAAAAGGTCCTGGGTTCGATTCCTGCCATATCACTGATCTTGGGAAAGGCACTTCACTCAGGTGAAAATGAGTATGCCATAATGATCACTGTTATGATCGTGGCCATTAAAGGAACAAGAAGAACTTGTGGTGCCTTACTTGTGTATATCATGCGGTATTACCCAGTAAGCCACACAGGTGGATATAGTCAGGCAGGTCAGGCACTGCAGGGTGGTCTTCAGTCCTCGTACAAACCACTGAAGGGACTGCAAAACATAGTACAACTGGATCAGGTTATGTACCTTATACATGTATATAATATACCTTAATCATACATGTATACTTAGCCTAGTAATACAATTAACAACCTCCCATATATACAGCCACTGACATAACCAATGAAACACACACATTAATCAGATATGATAAGAGCAGACAACCAACCACTGACATGTTACAAAGTTTTATAGCATTTTCTAGAAACACTGCCAGGACCTACAATATTTCTTGACTTGAGAACTTGTAAGTAGTTGTTGTAACTGATCCACGGTCCAAAGGCTGAGGTCCCAAGGAAGCAACAGTACCCAGAATACTCCAGGAAACTGGGCGTGGCTTGTACGACCCCACTGTCAAGGTCAAATCCCAAGGAAATAATCTTCATGGCCAGAATCATCTGAGCACCTATAACAAACACAGAAAAGATTATGAGATTGATCACATATTTTCACAAGCAAGTAACATTGAATGCCTCACAAGAGTACCCACAAAAGAAACGCATCACAATTCAAGTAGGTTTACGTTTAGGTTTAAGTAAGATTTAAGTTTATAAACACATCCAGCTATTGGATATTACCTCTGATTTTATGCCATTCCGTTGCCTCAACAATGAACAGCTCACTGTAAAAGAGAAGTACAACAATGCATTCTCTTACTTAGTATACAAAGGATCTGAATATACATGTACACATGTAATAAAAACAACTATAAAACACAGTACTGAAACATGCATAGGTGCCAAGTGCTAACAAATCTGTCGAACAACAGTACTTCATAAGTCTTTCTATGTCCATGTAGAAAGTGCAGTAGCCATACTATTTCCTATAGCTATGCTGAAGAACAATAGATACTATACCATGTCAATAAGAAAACAAGGGCCATGACAGAGGCAGCCACACCCCTCCACCTGTACCCATCCATCAGGTGCAACAACAGGTGTCCAGTGATGGCAAAGGTCACGATGAAGTACCAGTTAGCCTGGAACACCAGGTACAGAGCTGCCAGGCCTAGTCCTGTGGACATGAGATGTCTCGTCCAAGCTGATGCACCTGAAAAATCGCATGGGGTGACATTTTGTCCATTCAGTCCAAATGAGATTGAAGATGAATTATCATATAGATTGTTCAAAGATGTTCAACTTTCTTTCCGCTTGCTCAACGCAATTTAGTACAATCTTATGTTGATTTATTTATATAATAGTACTTAGGTTTCTTCCATATCCACTTATTTCTTTGTATGTACATACATTTATAGCAGTGATGTATAGTTATAGAATACCTTATGAAAGTTGCTGTACTTTTATTGGGTCAATAAAGATTGTTCTTTTTAGAATCTAAATCATAGTCATTGTTTGTTACTTTAGCAACATGTGTACTAGTTCTGTTATGTCCATTGCTATTAATGTTGCCTTCTAGGTATTCTTTTTGAAACACAATACATGTACTAGCAAACCACAAATGACAAATTACAAAGTAACACCAGCTTGAAATTAACAATTATAATAAATTTCTATGAACACAGAAACATATACAAAGTTCCTCTGCACCTTCTAATAGTCTGAATGTCAGACAAAGCAGGATGAGTGGACAGATCATGGTGAAGCCCTGCTGTAGTGTTGGGATGACACACAGGCTCCACAGTTCCTGTCTATCCATGTTAGACATTCCTCCAGCACTGTCTGCTGCTTCCAGGTAGTCCTCCCCATACAGCTGAGGAGGAAGAAGTGACAAGCATTTTAGAGTTCTCGCAGTTTACAATCTATAGAAAGACATACTATGCTGTTGTGCTTAAAAGATGTGACTGTGCACTTTTCATGTCTTCAAGAAATGGAATGAAGATCAGAGGGAACTGGGAGTTCTTTGAAAGTTTGATAGTACCTTCATTGCCAGGGTCAATAAGAATACAGCTTTCTCAAGAATATATTTTAGGTATCATTTAGGCTCTGCTCTAGATCTGCTCATGTTGAAAGTGTTGAAACCATGGTTTAAAATACCAACTCTCAATCTCATACACTCACCGCAAATTTTATTCTTTTAATACAAAGCAACCTGAAGATTACAGCGGCCCAGCTTTCAGCTTTTGAAATACATGTGATTTATATACCATGTGATGAGCAATACCTGTACAGGTGGCCTGGCTTACATCTTGCCTTAATTCTAAAATAAACAGCCAGTGCTGATGGCAACCTGAAATATTACAGCTTTTACTAGGTTGACCAGCAGTACATCAAACTTTGTCACCTCTTTCATGTACTGCTGCATTTCATAAGGATCCATGTCCTCTGGGAACCAATCTCCATCTTCTGACATGTAGTAGTCCTCAGGGAGGAAGTCTTCTCCATCATAATACTCCGGGAGGTTGCCAATATCTGCATCTTCTGGGTACCAGCCCCCATCATGCCCCGGTGGAAACCAGTCACCTTCATCCATACCTTAGATAATAGTTGATATAATGTGCTTTAGATCTTGAGAGCTAACATTTCAATCCCTGAAATAACATACCTATTTTATTTCAAGACTTAATGGCAATATTATTATTATTATTATTAAATGCAATTTCATGGTGGTAAAACAAAAAAAATATTCTGGATTAGTAAATCTGTCTGATATTTAACACCATTTACATTTTAATTATTATTTCACACTCAAAGAATTTGAAATAAAAATTAACAAGCTATGTGAGGAGCTATTTTGGGGTACCACCAGTAAATAGCTAGAACCCTGAGCCTGTGACACAAAACAAGCAACCTTTTTTCCATTAGCAACATTACATTTTTGCCTCACAAATATCAGTATGCTATGGGATAGGGTTAAACCTCCTTGATTCAATTTACTACATTAAAAAATTATCTGAAAATTGACTAAATGAAAATTCAGTTTTTAATACTGTCCTGTTAGATCATCTGTGCCAGACAGAGACTTATGAAGTCTGATATTAAAACCTGCAAGCAGACACCTAGAATTGTTGGAGACAGGTACTGGCCGTTAGCTCAAGGTTGTAACATTACACGTAGATAGCGAAAAACAAAGGTGCTACAGATCAAGATAAGAAATCCTGGGTGTAGAATTACAGCACAGATCCGGTTCAACCGGAAGGTGGCGAGCTGCAACTTTCAGCTATAAATTTTGAGGATCAAAGTATTGCTGCTGTCAACCAAAATTCATTCAAACTACGTTACTGCGCTGTTATCTTGTATGATAGCTACAATTCTTACCTTCCTTCTTGTTTGAATCGTACGTCAGAAGTGTCTTGAATAATGTGAAAACGATGATATTCTAAGAACTGGTTGGATCAAAACAAGACCAAATCTACTCCCTGCCATGTTGCACTTAAAATCAGGCTAGTCTATTATGAGGAAAGGGGTGACCGCTTTCTAATGCACCGTGTAAATATGATCTAAGGTAAAAATCATAAATCTACGAAATGACTTATATGTATGTATAAAAAATGTCTTCATATTTCTTCTGTTTATTCATAAAACTCGAGAATTATCAACGATTATCGGCAAATATCTTCATAAAAATGTAATCGCCGAAAGCTGACCCAGCATGCCTGCGCGGGACCCTGCGCAGAAGGAGCAAATGTGAAGGCGGGAAAATCGAACCTTTGCAGACGACGTTTTTTTTTTTTGGCGTTTCCCACCGTGGACATGAAAAGGCCACAAAAATACGTTTTTCCGAAGAGACCATCGCTTTAATTCTCCAGACTGAAGAAACCACGAGTATCAAACCTAAGTTAGAGGCTGAGTGAACTTTATTTGTGAAGAATATGGCCCTGGTGCAGCGTATTCCCTTGTCGGAAGTGTTGGCCACCGTCAAGCCCAACAGTGAGATCTGGAGCTGTTCTTACAACCCGCAGGTGACAAACTTTGAATCATTCTCACAAAAAAAAATCAAGATGTTAAATTTTAGAGACGGGTGATGAAAGTAGAATAAAAGAAAATATGGAACTAATGTTAAGTGTGTTTGGGTTATTTTTGGCATGTTTTTAGGTTTTTTATTGGGGTTTCTTTTTTTGCACATTTTTGGGGGTGAAAAAAAATTCCAGTGCAAAAAAAACCCCCGATAAATAAGCTTAAAACACGCTAAAAATAACCCAAAACCCAAACCTCTGCTTGGAGAGTAGACATGTCCAAATTGGAAAGTAAATCGCCCTTGATATAACAGTAAAACAGTTACAGTTATATTACATGAGCCTCCTTGTAACGTTGATCATTTCTCCTAGGATGATAACTTTATAGCAGTGACCACCAGTACGGAGAACAAACTGCGCATCTGTAAAGAGAACACACAGAGTTTTCCCAACGCCTTTGACCTGGGAGGTGCTGGGACCTGTACAGACTTCTCCAGAGATGGGAGCAGAGTTGTGGCTGGTAAGAGTAGTCATCTTTTCTTCTTTGTATTTTCAGGAGATTTAGATCTTGTACTATGATTTTCAGGGGGTAAAAAAGTGATGTTACATTTGTGTCATACTTGTTTCACATAGCTGGTAGACCGCCTTTAGGCATAATAGTGGTAAATGGTAATACACCAGTTTTGTACACAATAGGTACAAGCTGCATAAGACCAGACTGTAAGGTTTGAACCACTCACACAGGGAAGGACCCCTACTGTTATTAAAGTGCTCTAGGTATGGCTGTCTTCAAACATGGGAACTCCAGTCCAATTGAGAGGATGTCCCTAATCTTAGCATGTAGTCTGTAATGTGTATATTAGTGGCTTTCCCAAGGACACAATGTGGCGGCCTGTCAGGGATTTGAACCCAGCACCTTCAGATTCTGAGTCAACAAACCTAACCACAAGGCCACCTTGCCACCAATTCTCATTAATTAATTTATAAACAGAGGCATGAGTGAATTCATGAAGAAAGATACTTTGTGAAAACTTGATTGGATTGCCACAATATTATCTCCCTCCAGGCTCTACCTCCTCTGATATTGTCCTGATCACAAACATCAATGGGGAGACTCCAGAACAGGTCCAGCTCCAGGGCCACACCAGCGCCATCCGGAATGTCCACTTCCACCCCACCAACACCCTGCTGCTGTCCTCGGGCTGGAGCGACGGCATCCGAGTCTGGGACGTCAACACGCAACAGATGACCAGGCAGGAGCTGCTCAAGGAACACTTTGGTAGGTGGATGTTGTATCATTACAGTTATATACATTGAAGCACAGTGTGAATCCACAGCATAGAGGCAAATGGAGAGTTGCCATCTTTTTGCCTCAGCATCATTGCGCAAGACATCTAACCCTTGGGAGTTGGGGAACAACAGATTTTAAAACTGCATAGTGAATGAATGAGTGGTATGTAAACTAGGAAGGATATTAAAACAGGTTTGCCTCCTTGTTATAAGGTCCTTCCATTAGATTTGTACTTTTTGGTCACACAGTTCTCCCCTTGCAAAATAGCGGCAGTCAAAAGTAGTTTATATGAGGTCTTTCCATATATTGCTTTCCATGTATTGCTATCCTTTACCACATCTGCTTGGTTGAACGGCAAGCTAAATTATTGTGATTTTAATGTAAGTAATCAATATTTACCATGGTGTGATGTCTGTAGGAGAGGAAACCATCTACAAGACGAGCATGTCTGAGGATGGAAAGCTGCTGACAGTGTGCTGCTCTGATGGTGCTACATACGTACTGGAGACAAACAATTTCAAGGTACCTAGGTGTAACTTGTACAAGGCAATAAGTGCCAACTGCATACACATTGATGTTGTTTTTTAATCTTAATAGTTGTCCAAGCCATAGGTTTTCGGAATTTATATGTAAGACATCTAGAGAGAGTATACTACTACAATGTACTTTGTTTTATGTGAAAGTCAAGTCATTTAGGTCAAGTACCTGTATATTCTTGTCTTTACCTTTACTCATGTTGCTAAAACTGCTTTGGCAAGGGAAATATATATTTTGGATTTGGTTGCTGAGAGAAAAAAGTTAATTTGAGGAAGCCAAATCAAAAAGTACTTTTGACAAAATGACCTATTTTCACAGCTGGTACAAGAGCTGAAATGGACCAACCCCACAGATGTGCAGGATGCCTCCATACGTAAGACCTCCAGCAGAGACATCCAGGTTGCTACGGCCTCACACGACGGAACAGTCAAGGTGTGGGACCTAGGGACGGGCAAAGTCCTGCATATGTTCACTGTGGGTGAGTTTTCTTGGTGCGGAAAAAAATCACCACTGTGCGTCTGTGACCACAATCTCAGATTGAATAGAATTGCTTATGTACATAACATTGCAATTTAGACAAAATTGAGGACGAGTGTCATTTTGTTGTTGACTGTACATTATACAACTGTTACAATTAGAGAAATGTCCTTTTTAATTGTATACAACTTACAAGATAAGTTTCCTAGTTTTTGACATTTAGATAGCAAAGGAAAATTTGTATTCCTTACGGACCTACACAAAAATGTTTTATGTCTATACCTGTCTTAAGAACTGAGAAGAAGTTGAAGTTGTACTTAGTACTTTGCATCAGTCTGTATAGATGTCATAAGTTCTAATATTACTGTAATATGATACTTTTGGCTTTATTAGCATGACCTGTACTTAGCTTGTAAGAGCATAAACATACAATAAAGGTCTTTCATTGTTTAAAATGGTATTAAATGACAGAATTCAGCACCAAGGACAGACCTAGTATGCTTGACTCCCCCCAGGCTATGAGGCGTCCCGTGTGCTATACACCCCTGACGGCTCCAGGCTGTGTGTAGGAGGGAAGGCAGAACATATCCTGATATATAATGTGGAGGAGAACCCCATCAAGTCAGCCTGGAAACTGGCAGATCCCTGTGGATTTGGTGCCATCAAGTGTATGGACTTCTCCAGGATGTCAGGTAAGGGAGCACAATTTGTTTGTTTGTTTGTTTGTTTGTACCATTCTTTAGTTCAAATCAGCCTTTAGGCCATTTCCATTGAGGTCTTCAAGAAAGAGGTAATGGTTAGACAAAACATAAAACAAAGATACAGTTTACATCATTGGAAGAAACTTTTTTTTATTTTGTATGAAGCAGATTTTCCTACTACATTTGTGTATCTATTTAATGTAACTTCAAGGTTAAAGTTGTACATTGTGTCAATACTACAATTTTTTCTGGCAAAGTACAGTAGTCTTATATAAGTACAGCTTGAACATTGATTTTTGTAATACTCTTTCTATTCAACTATTTTAAAACTTCTATTTTGACCCAGTTTTTATTCTATACTATTTTACCCAGGCTCAAGGAGATTGGTGACAGGCCATGCAGACTCTACCCTGCGAGTGTGGAACTTGTATGGCATTGTGCAGGATAACTCCATGTAAGTACATTGCTTGGGGGGATGGACAACTTGAATATGAACTTTTGAAGTTGAAGCACTCAAAATGCTGAAGCACCTGCATTTTACAAACAAATTGTTTCTAAGTCCTTCCCTCTGTTCATTCCAGCTACATGTACTGTTAACAAAACATACCCTCCTCAACATGACCTCTGGTGTCCGAAAAAATATGCAAATGTAACTTTATTTGATAAGCCTTGATATTAGTGACAGAAGTTATATGTATTCAAGTTATATTTGTATGTCTGTACATTTTGTTCAATGTGGACCCCAGTATCAGCTATTGTATTTATCACAATTCCAAATAAATAAAGAAATAAAAAAATGAAGTTGTCTCATCACTGATGCATGTCCTATATTTTTTTCCATTCTAGGAGTGAATTTGCCTCTGTGATGGGTGACTACACAAGCAGAAGTTGACTTCAGTGACTGATGTGTTCTTCAGAGTTGTGTTCAGTTCTATTGCCCCAACGGCTGTGATCCTATAATAATATGCCACTTCAAGGTCCGTTGAGTTAATCTAGTCTATAATTCTTGCAACTGTACAAAGACTATTATTATATACAGTAATATGGGGTAACAATGTGCTTTTACAGTCAATGGCCAAATTTCTATAAAGTTTACTAATAGGCATTTTTAGAAGTCAGTTTAGTGGGTGCATCACACATTTGATGAAAGTTGACAAGATCGAATATTTATGGTGAGTTCCCTTCATTAACTCAATAATTTTAAATTTAGCTTATGAAATGGGAAAGTGGGTTTCCAAACTTTTAAAAAGTGGAGGGCATTATTATGTTTCTGTCCATAATAAAATATCTCTGTGAGAGTCTTTGTTTTGGCAATGTTCCTTGAATTCTTCACATTATATTGTACTTCTGGTTTGGAAAAAAGCTATTAGGCCATAATGACCAGTCTTGATTAAAAATATAGATTACATTACAGTGCACACTTTTCAGAATACTACTTTTAAAAATGTCTCTGCAAAATTCAGCCTGCTGAGGTGGGTATTTCTCTTCCTGGGACTACTATTCCATTAAAATGCCTGCGTCTCAGACTTGTAATCTATTGTAAAACATGAAATTTATATTCAAGCAGACTAATAAAATGTATCAGGTATGTGACTGTACTGTATATCCGGTACATTTACATCCGGCTAAGTGTGTGTTGCAGTGAACAAGCGAACAGAAATCTGTGACCACGATGGTGCGAAGCATGGCACTGCTGTACTTGCTACTCCTGGTTTCCAATCAGCTACTGCTTGTGTCGGCACCAGCTTTACGGTGCCCTGACAGCTGTCACTCTATCCCCATAAATCGGTCGGGAGAGAAGCGAGTCTCCTGTCACTGTCCAGGTAAATACTGGCCAGGGTCCCCCTGCAGCTGGATTGGGTACAGAGGAACGTATCACTTCCCCGCATGTCTTGATGCCATACCAACCGACTTCGACAAAGCCACGACGTCGATCTTCATCAAGCATCTTCGCTCCTCTACCATATTGGAGCGGTCTTTCCCAAACAGCCCAGCGCTGTACGGGTTCCTTTCAATCCAACATTCCAACGTATCCACGGTGCAGCCAGGGGCTTTCCAAGGTCTGCCATTGCTGAAAACCCTTTCCCTCAGAGACAACCGTATCTCCAGTCTTGGTATGTTGACAAAGAATGTGTATTTTGGGCTCCTGATATTTAATTTTGTTGCTTTTAAAAAAATTTCCTTATTTTATATGAATCCTAAATAACAGCACTCTTTGGACTAGTCTAGTATTTCATGTTTGATTTAGAAATAGCAGAAAATTACCTATGTGTAAAATGACTGATACATTAAACTGTTAGGCCCCTTCCCAACTAGGATAAATTTGTACGGGATTGATACTGGATAGATTAGCTACCTGAATCGATCTGCCACCTATCCGGCTCACCTGGCTAGGAGGATCATACAAAAAATGTGGGAATGTTCCCACTGGGGTAAATTTGACCAGTGAGATTGATTCAATCAGCTAATAATCTATTCAGATCGATCTGGTACAAATTTAGGCCACACCGACTTAATTTTATGGATGCAGACATCCGCGCGCGCATTGATTTTTGCCTGATCTCAAAAAAAATAAAAAAGGATCACTCCACCGAGGCTCTGGCCTGGCTCTAGGCCTGGGTAGTCCATAGCAGTTTGCGACAATACGGAGCCGGGCACCAAGTCTACCGAAGCTCCATGACTCAAGAACAGTACATACCTACAGTGCCGATTCATAAATTCCGCAAAAAGCCGGCATGTCGCATACGTCGCTATGTACTGCCACAAATTCACAATACCAGCTTTTTAAAGTTTGTATTCCTGTGGTTTAGTAGCATTTTTATTTTTGGCCGGAATTTTTTTTTATTCGCCCGCACGCACTAGTTTGGGGGTCTTCAGAGGATGTCGTCCATAAAATTTAGTCAGTGTGGCCTTATCGTGTTTGTTTCTGCCAATTCTTTGAGATTGTTTATTATAATTGTTTCAGTTCATAACAATACACTAATTTGAAATACATTGCAGTCACTAATGTACATAGTACAGTCAAGTGAATTATACATGTTAGGCAGATACAAAATGGAATAAAATTATTATAAACAACTAAACATGATTAGTACATGCATGTAATAATTACTTAATGTTGATAATGAAGAAAAAAATCTTTGCAAACTTAAAATAACCTTCTGTTTTGTTTATCCTCAGAACCCGACACCTTCCTTGGGCTTGAGAGGGTAACAGACCTGAACCTTGAAAGCAATGCCATTTCCGTCATATCCCAGCATGCGTTCCGAGGCCTGCCTCTCCTGGCCAACTTGAGGTTGGTTGAGAACCGCCTGCATTCCGTCCCCGTCAACGCACTCCTGGCGCTTACTGCACTGAAGTATGCAAGCCTTCAAACAAACCACATCACCACGATTGACAGCCAAGTCCTGCGTATGAGCCACCTACAGCTTTTCCTAGCAAACAACCAGCTGAAATGTGACGCAAATCTCACCTGGTTCATCTGTCATCTGCCAGAGTTGAATCACATCTTTGAACGTAACTTCCTGAAGTGTGCGTCGCCCGCTGACCAGAGCGGAATTCTGCTTGCCAACGTGAGGAAGGACATCAGGTCGGGGGGATGTGACGAAACGTCCACCACAACAGGTCCGCCTACCCACCACACTAGTCTGTATAACTACACCATTCCCACGGAGATGCCATACACAAACACCACGCGAGGCTCAAAGTACCAGGCTACAACAAGCCAGGCTACAACCGGGACTGACATTGTCACTCTTCCAAGTTTTGGCCCAATTCTCACTGAGGAAGATGACGGTTACCACGTCAATGCCGTCATCCTGGCTGTTGCTGTGCCCCTCCTCATGGTGTTGGTATGGGTGGTTGCCATCTGCTTGTACGAACGCTGTCACGGCACAGATCCGGCCCGTCACAACGCCCCTGCTGAAACAGATGGAAACTCCACCCCTTCGGACAGAGACTCAGTCACAGGCAGACAATTGAGTTCTGTTGAGGACCAGACATCAGAGGGCAACAATGACATTGAGCCGTATGCTGTGTCATACATGGATGTGTCTGGGAAAGGGAAAAACGGCAAGCTTGCACCGTACGCAACAACTTCCTTTGCTAACATCCAGCCAAAGGAACCAGACAATGATGACATCCAGCCAATAGAAGACAACGATGACATTGAGCCGTACGCTGTGTCATACATGGATGTGTCTGGGAAAGGAAAAAACGGCAAACTTGCACCGTATGCAACAACCTTCATTGATGAAGACCCAGGGCCACAGCTTCAGCCATATTCAGTAACCCACGAAGACTCAGGGCCACAGCTTCAGCCATATTCAGTGACCCAAGAAGAAGACCCAGGGCCTCAGCTTCAGCCATATTCAGTGACCCACGAAGAAGACCCAGGGCCACAGCTTCAGCCATATTCAGTGACCCAAGAAGAAGACCCAGGGCCTCAGCTTCAGCCATATTCAGTGACCCACGAAGAAGACCCAGGGCCTCAGCTTCAGCCATATTCAGTAACCCATGAAGACTCAGGGCCACAGCTTCAGCCATATTCAGTGACCCAAGAAGAAGACCCAGGGCCTCAGCTTCAACCATATTCAGTGAGCCAAGAAGAATGTGGGCCACAGCTTCAGCCATACGCATTGACCCACGATGAAGACCCAGGGCTGCAACTGACAAGAAACATCACGCATCCAGTCACCCAACCAAGGGGTCAGTCACTGCCAAGAGGCTACATGAGGGCAGGTTATACGTCACTGACAAATGTCACTAACAAACAGGCGACAAAGGTCACAAAATCAAGGGGTCAGTCACTGCCAAGAGACCATGCACTAGCAGGTTATACGTCACTGACAAATGTCACTAACCAACGGACAGCAAACACCACTCAACCAGTCACCCAACCAAGGGGTCAGTCACTGCCAAGAGACCATGCACTAGCAGGTTATACGTCACTGACAAATTTCACTAACAAACAGGCAACAAACATCACACAACCAATCATCCAACTAGGGGTCCAGCCAAAAGAGGCCAACAGAGAGGCTGTCCGTCAACAAGAGACAGCAGGGGTCCTTATGGACTAGACGAGGGGAAGGAGGTCCCAAGTGTCAGTGGGACGCTGTACAGGAGTAGCTCACAGCACACTGGAGCTGAGGACAGCACATCTGACATGCTGTACAACACAGCCCGAGTTTGCATAGCTCATGGACAGCCTGAGAGCTCGCATAAGGACAGCACATCTCACATGCTGTACAACACAGCTCATGGACAGAATGAGAGTGAGAACAGCTCAATTCTGTATAGTGGTTCATCCTTAGACCCTTAGCTGCCTGTATTGTCATTGTATTTATTATATTTTATTGGTATTTTAGAATTCTAATATTCTAAATGTTGTGGCATCATTTTAGTAACAATTTGTATATGCTATGTTCACCTATGGCATGCCTATGGCTGCGATGTCCAACATACTCTATAGCCCAACACTCAGTACCAGACTGTTTTTTCACTGACTAAGAAATAAACAATGATACAATTTTTTTCACAAATTTTCATTCAATTCAGAATCAAATTCAGGACGTTGTCTGACTACATATTAATGACTTAAATCAAACAAACTGTAAAATGGATGTACCATTAGATGCAAGTTAAAATGATTTCTGCTTTAAAAGTCTGAACGGACCCCACAAGCATACATGTACCGCTTTCAAACTGAATCACTTTGATCCAAGCTCTCACACCTTGATGAAAAAATGCCAAAGGAATTCTTTCTCCTTCTTGCCTTCATCTAAAATGAGTCTCATAACAGCTACATGGAGGAATAATCCCTTTGGCATTTTTCATCAGTACATGTATGCCATGTATTCCCGTCAAAGACTGAGTGCTCAGATCAAAGAGATGCTGTTTGAAAGCGGTATGATTAATTTCTGAGCGTTTCTGGATGTTTCACTGGAAGTGTTAAATATTGTTTGTAGAGTCCCACTCAACTGTCATAAAATAAAAATGTACCTTCAAATTGTTGTGAATACTGAGTAAAGTAAACAGTAAAAGGAAAAAATATTAATAATGCCAGCATTACAGAAACTTTGGATCAATCAATAAATATGCTGCTTGGATTTTTAGTATGTTGTTCTTGTTACTTTTTGTCCTCAGTGTAGGTACATTTTGTAAGCCCCTTTCCCTACCAACCCTCACGTTCAGACTAAATTTTGTCATTCATCTTCAAATTGATGAGGTGTAAAGAATATCTAATTCATTAGCATACTTTTCCAGACAGAAAGACATCCTGCTTCTATATTTCTGACACATATTTCCTCGGTAAAATTCATTCCTCCGAAATGCGTCCATTCTTATTGCTATCAACTGCCAATTTAGGGGAAAACGTAGCAAATCTGAGATTTAAAGGCACCTGGTGTTGAAATGGTTTATGAATTTTCAGCGGCAAAAATAATCACTGCAGTAAAAGAGCATCAGTATGACGCAACTAGTGTTGAAATCGCCATGGATAAAAAACGCCCCGTTGCGGCGACAAGAAATCACTGCAGTGAATGCTGACCCAGCAACATTACGGTGCAGTGCTCCACTGAACTGCTAGTACTCCATATCCAAGAGGCCGCTTTTGATCCATGCACTTGTAAGTTGTAACGTGTAATTTATTGACCCGATGGTATCCATCCAGTACTATCGTCTACATGTTGAGTGTGCTTTACCATGGCTCTAGACTGGAGGCTCTCTGCTGAATATTTACTTGATATGAGTTTAATTTTGCGCGCCGTTTGAGTTATAAACACATAATACTCGCGCCGAATAAAACTCCTAGATCCTACAGGTTGCCGCGCCGCCGCAAATTTCCGTCTCGTAAACGGTCGTCGCCTTTCCGAACGGTTGTCGCCTTTTCTCAGAGCGGTCGTCGCCTTTATGAACGGTCGTCGCCATTTCCGAGCGACCGAACTTCAGTTCCGAATATTCGCGACATGTTCGTGACTTCATAAAGGCGACGACCGTTCGGAAAGCCGTCGCGGCGACGACCGTTCATAAAGGCGACGACCGTTCGGAAAGGCGACGACCGTTCATAAAGGCGACGACCGTTCATAAAGGCGACGACCGTTCATAAAGGCGACGACCGTTCATAAAGGCAACGACCGCTCTGAGAAAAGGCGACGACCGTTCGGAAAGGCGATGACCGTTTACGAGACGGAAATCTGCCGAGCCGCCGTTCCGAGCTTGTACCGCCGGAAGAGAGCCCGCGCAACCCGCGACAGACTGGATACAAGAATGCGTCACTAGCAGGGACAGATTCAATTTGTCCTTGGTCAGTGGTAGCTTTGTAAGCCAGTGCTTATGGCATAAACACACTGGCTACTTTTTGGCAGTTTATTATTCAGACTGTGCCTCAAATTAGCCGAGTTTACGAACGCACTGCACACTGTTGAAGCGGCGGCAACATGGTTGGAAGTCAAACAACACAGAAGAAAGTCCTCGTGGAGGAGGGGTGTTCGGCCCACGTCCATTACCACACGCCGGGGTACTAGTATTTTACTGGGTCGATTTAAATTAGTTTGCCTTATAATTTGAAAGGCCGGTTTGAAATATAGGAGAGGCCAGGGCTACAGTTCTCCGCGGCGGGCCCGGCGGGTTGGATTCGATTACGGACGGGGCTGTCGTCGCTAGTCGACCGAGTAGAAACCGCCAAATACACCCAGGTTATTTCCTGACTACTGCGCCTTCCTAACAAATACAGAAAGTAACTAGAAAGGTAACATTTGCAAGCAAATGCAATATGTTTACCTCAGGATGGTCTTGCCTACGATTTAACGTTATACCTTTATTAGGACAGGAAAGGTAGAAGGATAGTTTGCTTATATTACTGACTTTTATATGCTGTTTATAGAGTAACATCAACGTTATAACTGGGGAATTTGAATGTTTTTGCCGTTGTAAGGCCAAGTCTACCCGTCTGCCACTCAAAGATCATTACCATAGACTAGTCTTGTAGTGCCATGTATAGGAGATACTAGGATATATATAGTTACATACCACAGTACCAATGATTCACTCAGCACACACTCTTACCATGTTTGCAATCAGGCCACAGCATGTAACTTTAATCAATGACATCCTCTGCAGACTGCAAGTAAACTTCGAGTCTTTTTGACAGCTTTAGTTACAAAGGACTTTGCTGCGCTCATCTTACTACCTTATTACATTTTTGTAAATAGGAAACAGGACGTAGGCTGAAATAATAATGATGATAAGTTTATTATTATTACAAATACATGACAGAAGGCTAATTGTAAATACGTATATCATACGAAATGATATACAATGATATGAAGAACTAATTCCTACAGTACACTTTAGTCTTTATACTACAGTATATAAGATATATATCAAGCCAGTTTGGTTGGGTTTTACTTGTTCTTTTGATCGCCGAGCCAGTGAATATACCCACTTCTATAATAATTGTTCTTTGAAATTTTATATGAAAATCATTGCAATGATGATGAAAATCTACAGTTGTGTAAAATATTGGAACTACGCACTCTATAAAACCATACATACATACTTAAAAGCTATACATGACTTAACTGTTACATATATTATGCAAATTTAACATACATAATGAATATTTATAACCGGATAAAGTAAGTAATAAATATTTACTGGTCAAAATGGAGATATAATGTGTTTCTAGAAATGGTTGTGATGTGTTGTATCCTTCTGTGGATGGCTGGGTTCAGCTCTGTTAGGTTCCTCCCCAGTTTCTCATGGACCAAGTTCTGCTTCCTTTCCTAGCAGAGGTCCAATCTTAAGAGTCTTATGAGGATACAAACAGCTGAGTAAGCATTTCAAATGTGATCAGAAACTGATATTATCCTTATTATGTTTAGAGAGATAACTTCACGGGATATGCATCATCGGGATACGGAATTTTTCGGGATAGGCGTCCCGAAAAATCCCGCGAGATATCCGCGTGTGGTGCGAGATCTCCAAGTCTACCGCGGGTCCTGTCACCGATGGCGGCGTGCCAAATGTTTATTTTTACGTCCTGTCGGGCGATCTGGGCAGGGCCAATGGAGCACCCTGACGTCAGTCAACTTTGCCAAAATTTTTATTCACCGATAGCACAGGAGTGTATATTGTGTATGACGCGTTCCTCACGCGGTAATAGGTGAACTGCTACATTTTTACAAAGCTATTGTGCAGCGAAAAACTCACGAAAACTGTAAGAAAATAGCAGGAATGAATTTTTAATAAACCCTTTCGTCTCCGGTGAGTTTCGGCAAGTTTATAAACCTTCAAATAAAATGGGGCGTACCGGCTGTAGTAGTAGGATTCTAGTACTAGTAGCTGTATTTCATTGTGACATCTTGTACTAAATTGGCTTGTTGAGGTCTACTCATCTTCTCATAAGCAGACTGCGTCAAGTAGTCTCTGTATTACGAAAATTAGGAACGTTTGCACATCAAAATCCCGCGGCAAGCGTCTCACCCCTCCCATGCAAACACGTACACATAAAATAAATAAACCCTTGCATCAACAATCAACGATCCGACCACGTCCATTGACGTACGTATTACCCTGAAAGCAAGTACTTCCACGCGGCTGGCAAAAAATCTTCCGGTGGAAAAAGCATTCTCGTTCTCGATGTCACTTGTGAATGAAATCGGGATGAGAAAAATACAATGCCGCTTGCAGGACTGAGGCGGAAAATCGCTACAATCGCCAGGGCGGCCGGAGTCTCTGGGGCGGAGCATCGAGCCTTTGAGTTTGAAATCTTGCCGCCCAGCCAGTGGGCGGGTCCCCGTCTGTGTGCTGTGATTGGGCGCCGCGCGGTGATAGCTATGCTGCGTGCCGTTTCTATGGCAACGTGGCCTAGTCACAGAAATGTATCAATTCTTGTTCGTTGCTGATCGCAAACACAGCCAAGAGGCGTAAAGAACTTTTTAATTATGCTTCGCCCCCCTCTTGTTAATCTCCCTTCCGCAGCTCCGTGCGTCGACCTCCCCTATCTAGGAGAAAAATAGAACTTCTGGCGACATGGCACGTGGATGTGTTAGATTTTATATCTGAGATAGCGCGGGTC